TCCCTCCCCCTCTCCCTCCCTCTCCCTCCCTCCTCCACTGCCAACTCGGCCAGCTACTCTCCATCCTCTCATCCTCTCACGTATACCCCTGTACCATCATTGTCTCTTCTCTTCTACCTAAAAGGGTGGGAAATATGACGAGGCGGCGTTTTCTTTTTGTTTGCTTGCTTGCTTGCTTGTTACTTGACGTTACAGATACCATGGGAGTCTGTTTTTTTCTTCCCTCTCCTTTCTCATGTCTTCGACTTGTCAACCTCCCTAATTCTTTCTGGTCAAGCTCTCTTTGCTATCTTCTTTTGCTCTTGTGATGTTTGCCCTTGAGATGTTTCACCAGCTGTGGTTGAAATGTTCTACGGCCTCTTATATATCCATGACTTGTGGTCTTGTTTCTGGGGGGTTTTTTTTTGACATTGAACTTGATTTCATACTGAAAAAACAACAACAAAAAATCACACACAAAAAAAAACAAAACAAAGAAGGATTACTCGACAATGAGCTGGTTCTGTTGTCGATGAGTGGAGGATATTGCTTTTTCCTTTTTCCTTTTTCCTTTTTTTGTCTGTTTGTTTTCCGTCCTATGTTTTGCGTCATGTTCAAGCGGTGGAAATCAACTCCCAAGTATGAGGAATACGACGGTGGGAATAATTTTTATCACGACATGTATTCATGTCTTATGAGTCGCGTTCTCTGGTTTGAAGTATTTGAATAAATGTTGAATATCTGCGTTGACGGATGTACATGTTCAGAGTATTGAGAGAGAGAGAGCAATGTGAAAGCAACGCCAACCCCGCCCCCGCCATTTGAAAAAAAAAAGAACCAAGTACTTGTCTGACAAGAGACAGTCTAGGAACCTGCGCCTATGGCGTGTTTACTCAATATATATTATATAAAGGGGGGAAAAAAAGACATGCTATGAACAAACAGAAAGATAAAAGGTAAAAAAAAAAAAGACAACATCAACATCGTATTTAACCTACGATTATGGTACCTCCCTCTCCCATCGTGTCATAGCAAACCTGCCTACCCCCCCTACCCCCCCCCCCTCCTCCCCCCCTAACCCACCCTTTTATACATGACCAAACCATTTCCATTTTCCGTCCATCCAGTTGGTCCATATTGCTTTGTATGCATGCACGCCCCCAAGGCGTCAAAGAGAAGAGAGGAAGAAATAAAACAGAAAAAGAGAAAAAAAAAATTCTTCGGGGAGAGAGGAGAGGAGAGGAGAGAGGAGAGGAGAGGAGAGGAGAGAGAGAGAAAGAGAGAGAGATGACCTAAGAGGTCACGCTGATGGGCTTGGCATCAGGCTTGTCAGCATCGACGTCCATGGCGTCGTCGACGGTCTCAGCTCCGTCGGCGCCCTCGACGTCTTCCTCGTCGAGCAGGTCGTCCTCACTCTCGTCCTCGAGATCGACACTGCCGGCGTCGTCGTCGTCTTCGTCGTCGTCGTCGTCGTGGTTGTGTCCGGCCTTGACGTCGGCGTCGGTGCCCTCGACGCCACCCATCTCGGCGTCCTCGCCCTGCTTCTTGGATGAGGAGGCGGCGGCCTCACCCTCGACGGCGGCGTCGTCCTCGACGTCGTCGTCTGCCTCGTCGGCTCCGTACTCTTCACCGTCGGCGACGAGGTCGGCTTCCGGCTGCTCGGGAGGGTACTCGGCTGGGGCGGAGGCGTCGGAGTCCCTATCTCGTTGCCGTGGTCAGTCGGTGTCGGGGGGGGGGTTGTTGGGTTTCATTCATTCATCAGAGAGGAGTTGGAGAGAGAGAGGAAGAGATGGAGATAAGGGATGAAGAGTAAGAGAGAGAGAGAGAGAGAACACACCATTTAATGGCAAAACGAGTGACGCGAGGTTTCTCGGCCAGGACATTGCGCTTGACACGATCGATGAGGGGCTTGGCAGGAGGCTCGGCGTTGAGCTCGTCAGAGTCGTACTCGTTGTTGACGTAGTAGCCGACGCGGACGAATTCACGACCGTCGTAGGCGCAGGTGAGGAGGATGACGGTGACGCCTAGAATGTCGGTCTCGGGGATGCGCGTCGTGTTGGGGGCGTCAGCCTCGAAGACGAATTTGTTGACGCCGACGGGGATGGGACCGACGAGGAGGGAGTCGAGTTCTTGGTCATACTGATCACTTTTTTTTTTTTTTTTGGTCAGTTTCAGAGGAAGAGTGCGTGTGTTGTGTAGGAGGGTGCGTGTGGAGAGAGAGGGGGGTAACTCACGAGGTGGCGGAACCGACATAGGTGAGCTTCCATTCGAGATCTAGTCATTGTTAGAGAGACTACAGGTTAAGAGGAGAAGAGAGAGGAAAGGAGAGGAAAGGAAGAGATTGTAGAATGATGAGGATATAGAGAGTAGAGTAGAGAGAGTAGAGAGAGAGAGAGAGAGAGAGAGAGAGGGAGAGAGAGGGAGAGGGAGAGGGAGGGAGAGGGGGATGTTACCCTTTTCCAGTTGCTCGAGACATTCAAAAGTAATCTCAAATTCGTACTTGTCGGTCAACTTGGCGGGGTTGTTCAAGACCTTGACGCCGAGCAGCGAAACGACCGACATGGCTGTGTTTGACGCGGTTCGAGAGGGAGACTTTTTTTCTCTTCAATCTTGAATTTTCTTTCTCTTCTTTCTTCTTGAGAGAAAGAAGAATGAGGAGTAGGAGGAGAAGTTGGTTGGTGGTTATATCTGTGTGGTTTACGGGTGAAGAAGATGGAGGAGGGGGGGGGGATGGATGAGAGAGAGAGAGAGAAGGGAAGAGGAAAGTGGAGAGAAAGAGAGAGAGAGAGAGAGAGAGAGCAGGTCTGTAATAGTGGCGGCAGTGATTGATGGACCGGCAACAATAATATTCAGGTACTATTACCAACTACTGATAATTAGCAGCAGCTGGGACTATCGAGGAAGGGCCTGAAAAGAACAAACATAGTGGATGCGCTCTGGATCAATCTGCTGAAGGTGCTTGGGTGGAGCAGGTGATCTAGAGTGTCCTAGAGAGAGGGAGGTGTTCGTCTATTTTGAAGTTCTTGGAGAGCACAGATTACGATGGTTGACGCTTGTACGTGAAACAGAGCAGAGACGCGACTGGTGGTCACTATCAACGCGTCTACGTGCTTAATAATAAACATACTTGGCGACTTTTTTGGTAATACTTGGAGATACCAAGAGAGTGATATTATGAGAGTGTTATTATTTGCTAGGAGTGATCTGTACTCTGTAAATCTGTACACGACAGAGTATCAGAATATTGCTCGGCTTTACCATTACAGAGTCACCGTCACCCTCTCTCTACCAAGATGTTGAAGAATACATCTATCCTATCGTGTCTTGATCATCTCTACGAGCATCATTAGCACCGGGCCAGTACCGCTATCTTACTATCCTGATACTGCACACAGACGAAAACACACATATATGTAAAGATGCCGATACACTGAGATACTGCCACTCTTCAGTGTTCCCCGTCAACTAAAACCATCACAGAGCACCATCACAGAGTATCAGCACCATCTCTCACCGCCTTCCGCACACACACGCTATTCCTCTTTCGTATTCTGCCACTCATCACCATCACCACCTTTTTCTTGCTCAAGCTTAGGATTTTCTTGTTCCATTCTCAGACCACGGCAATCTTTCCGTCAAACATCCTTCCCGACCAGACAACTCTCCCATCCCTGTCGCTCTCTTATACCCTCTTCTAATAAAGAATCCCCCATCCCTCCTTCAGCGTTCTCTCATTCTTCAGAGCCATCGGATACGCCATCTCTTACCACCGGTACCACGTCTGCTATATACCTAGCAGCGGCGACTCACCACACACACCCAGCTGGCCACCCCCAAAAACTTCATCATCACCGCTGGCCTTGTCACGCGTCGCTCTCTCTCTCTCTCGACTGCGCATCGTCGGATCCCACACCGCATCGATCCATCCGCATAAGTCCGGAACCTCTCCTAACCTGACACCGTCGCGACCTTGACGCGATAAAGAAGAAGAAGAAGAAGGAGAAGAAGAAGAAGAAGAAGAAGAAGAAGAAGAGAAGAAGAAAAAGAGAAGAAGAAAAAGAGAAGAAGAAAAGAAAAGAAAAAAAGAAGAAAAAAAAACTCCCCAGCCAACATGGCCTCGGAAGACGTGACGTGGGAAGGCCAAGGGTATAATGGTACCGATAATCAGCAGCGAGAACAACAGCAACAGCAAGTTGATAATATTACCCAAGATTCCCACATCTCTGCTGATGCAGAAGAAGAAGAAGAAGAAGAAGAAAGTGTCCAAGATGATGGTGCCGACTATGATCCCGAATCCGTCTCCTTTGACCCTCCCTTCCAAGTCCCTGACCCTGATCCCGCTCCCGCCTCCTCCGCTCCCGCTCCTGCTGTCGCCCCCGGAGCAGATGCCCGGACAAAGACACAGTCCCAGCGCCCCAAGCCTAAAATGTCCGGAGGCTTCGTAGTCGAGGCCTCTGATGATGAGGAGGAAGACGATGATGACGACGACGACGAAGAGGAGGACGACGACGACGGCGGCGACGATGACGGCGACGGCGACGACGGCAATGGCAATGGCAATGCCAATACGCCGCAGACCGACGCTGCCGTCGCTGCCGTCGCTGCCACCGAAAACAATGGTACCAGTGTGCCGACTCGGAGCCAGAATCAGACGGCTCAAGCGCAGCCGCAGCAGCAGCAGCAGCACGGAATTCCCGTTGCCAGTCGCAGCGTCTCAGTCATGCCCGCGCCCGCGCCCGCGCCCGAAGCCAGAATACCCGAACCCCACGTGCCCGTCGGCATCCCCACCGTCGCCGGTCTCGATCCGACCGTCATCCTCGAGGCCCGCATAAAGGAGGATCCCAGGGGCGACATGGACGCGTGGCTGGGCCTCATGGCCGACCACAGGCGTAGGAGCAGCGTCGACGCCCTGCGCAGCGTCTACAACCGCTTCCTCGAAGTGTTTCCCCAAGCTGTAAAGTCAACTCCCGTCCTCCGCAATCCGGCCTGCGCGCAACCCGACTGACCTAGCAACCCGGCGATGACAGGCCGACATATGGGTGGAGTGGATCGACATGGAGCTGGGCCTCGACCAGTTCGCCGCCGCCGAGCAGCTGTTTGGCCGGTGCCTGATGGCGGCCCCCAACGTGCGCCTGTGGACGGTGTACCTCAACTACATCCGCCGCCGGAACGACCTGACCAACGACGCCAGCGGTCAGGCTCGACGGACCGTCGCGCAGTCGTACGAGTTCGTCATCGACAACATCGGCGTGGACCGGGACTCGGGCCCCATCTGGCAGGACTACATCCACTTCATCAAGAGCGGCCCCGGCCAGATCGGCGGCGCCGGGTGGCAGGACCAGCAGAAGATGGACCAGCTGCGCAAGGCCTACCACCGCGCCATCACGGTGCCCATGTCGGCCGTCAACAACCTGTGGAAGGAGTACGACCAGTTCGAGATGGGGCTCAACAAGCTGACCGGCCGCAAGTTCATCCAGGAGCGCTCCCCCGGCTACATGTCGGCCAAGAGCGCCAACATCGCGCTGGACAACATCACGCGCGGCCTGAAGCGCACCAACCTGCCCCGCCTGGCCCCGGCCCCGGGATTCGACGGCGACGCCGAGTTCCGGGAGCAGGTCGACATCTGGAAGAGGTGGATCGCCTGGGAGAAGGAGGACCCGCTGGTGCTCGCCGCCGACGAGCCCAAGGTGTTCCGCCAGAGGGTCATGTACTGCTACCGGCAGGCCCTCATGGCCCTGCGCTTCTGGCCCGAGATCTGGGTCGACGCGGCCGAGTGGTGCTTCGGAAACCAGGTGCGCGACCCCGGCAGCAATGCCGAGAGGGATGCCGGCACCGACATGCTGGTCCAGGGCCTGCTGGCCAACCCGGAGAGCGTCCTGCTCGCCCTCAAGCACGCCGACCACGTCGAGGCCAACTACCCGGCCAAGGAGGGGGACATTGCCGAGTACGCCAAGGCGGTGCGCAAGCCCCTCAACGACGTCCTCGACACCCTGTACAGGATGGGCGACAAGGTCAAGGAGCGCGAGAAGCTCGAGATCTCCACCATCAGACAGGCTGCCGCCTCGACCAGACCGTCCATCGAGCAGGACGGCGACTACGACGGCGACGACGACGACAACAACGGCGGCGGCGGCGGCGAAGGCGATGACGACGACGACGACGACGACAACGACGACGGCGACGGCTATGTCGGCGGCGGCAACAGGGCGTCGGCCGAAGCGACAGAGTCCCGCATCCAGGCCATACAGAGGGGCTACGCGGCCGAGAGCCAGGTCCTCTCCCGCACCATCTCGCACGTGTGGATCGCCATGGCGAGGGCCATGAGGCGCATCCAGGGCAAGGGGAACCAGACGGACGGCGGCCTCAGGTCCGTGTTTACCGAGGCCAGGCACCGGGGCAGGCTCACCAGCGACGTCTACGTCGCCGTCGCGCTGCTCGAGTCGGTCGTCTACAAGGATCCCGTCGGCGCAAAGATCTTTGAGAGGGGGGCTAGGCTGTTTCCCAACGATGAGGGGTTCATGGTGGAATATCTGAGGTTTCTGCATTCGAGAGATGATACGACCAGTGAGTTTTTTTCTTTTTTTCTCTTCTTCTTTTTTCTCTTCTTCTTCTTTCTTTTTCTCTTCTTCTTTCTTTTTCTCTTCTTCTTTCTTTTCTCTTCTTCTATACGCGAACAAAAGTGGAAGCGGAGTTTCGAGAGAAGATAGGAGGAACTCGATAGAGAGCAGGAGGCTGACACGTACTAGACGCTCGTGTCGTGTTTGAGACCTGCGTCAACAGGTTGGTCTCCAAACCGGAAACGCTCCACAAGGCCAAACCGCTCTACGCATACTTTCACAAGTACGAATGCCAGTTTGGCGAGCTGTCCCAGATCTCCAAGCTCGAGGACCGCATGGCAGAGCTGTTTCCCGAGGACCCGCGACTCAGCTACTTCACGGCACGCTACTCAACCGAAAAGTTCGACCCGGTAGCCGTACCCATCATCATCTCCAAGGCCGTGCAGATGCGCCCGAAGCTGGCCGGTGCTCCTGCGACTGATCAGCAGCACCAGCAGCACCAGCAGCCGAAGCAGCACCAGCAGCAGAAGCAGCAGCCGGTGTCCGGACGCGACAGCCCCCTTCCACCCCCGACCATGCCACCGATCCCGCACGCAAACAACGCCAGGCAGCAGAGCCCCCGCCCTCAGTACGTCTCGGCCAGGGCCACGGCCTCACCTAAGCGGCCGCTGGGTGCGGTGGAGGACGAGGAGCTCAACCCGCCCAAGAGGCTGGCCAGGGGCGCGTCGCCGCTCAAGGGCGCGGCGGGACGACGGCTGGACCAGCAGCGACGCAACCAGGCGTCGGCGCTCCACCGCGACATCAGCTTTCTGCTGACCATCCTGCCGCCGGCGCACACGTACGACTCCCAGAGGCTCAATGCAGCCGGACTGACGAATCTCCTACGAGAGACTACGCTTCCGGAATCGGCGGTCTGGAATGCCAAGCTCGGACAGCAGCAGCATCAGCAGCATCATCAGCATCAGCATCAGCATCAGCAGAACAGCAGGCAGACCACGCCAGGTGCGGCGGCGGCGGCGGCGGCGGCGGCGGCGGGCGGCGGCGGCGGTCACGGGCGTCAGCCGTCGGCCGACTTTGCTGGCGGCTCCGGCAGCAGCAGACCCATCAGTCCGTACGGCAGGCTGCAGTCGGCCTCGGGTACCGGGTATCGAAACTCCCCGCTCGGCTACGCGCCGCCTCCTGGGCCTGATGCTGGTGCCGGTGGCGGGTGGCCTGCTCCTGCTGGGGGTTACGGAGCTCCTCCGTCTCAGGGACAGTACGGGTATAGGTATTGAAGGGTCATGTCTGGATCCTTGTAACAGAGAGTCTTGCTGCGTATATATATGTATGTATGTATGTACGTATATTTTTCTGGCGTTTCTGTCCTAATTTCTTTTTTTTTTGTACGAGGTGGATGAATATGCAGTGGAAGAGAGATGCAGGCAGGGGGGGGGGGGGGAAAGACGAAGAGAAAGAGAGAGAGAGAGAGAGATTGTACTTTTTGATACTGGCTATGCTACGTTGCTACGAGTTTGTGAACAGCGTGTGTGTGTGTTGAGAGGACATGACAGAAAGATGATGAAACCAAAGGGAAAATAGTAGAGGGGAAAAGAAGAAGAGGAGGAGGATGAGATTCTTCATACACGTATACTCTTTTCTTATCGTGACGAGGGCCTTGTTTCGACGGCAACGTGCATCAGTTGTAATTTTGTTTTTTGTTTGCTTGTAGGTGGCACGGTATGGTTCTAGCATCTTGGGTAAAAGAAGAGGAGGAGGAGTAGGAGGAATAGGTGAAGGAAGAAAAAGAGAGAGAGAGAGAAGGAAGGAAGGAAGGAAGGAAGGAAAGGTCATTCACACACAGTCTACGTAATACATACAATCCATCGTCACACCTCGATGAATAGCCGTCACACCTTCCTCACCCTCCTTCTCACCTGCACGTTCCCATCTGCCACCTGATACCAGATGTTATTCTATATAAAGCAGGCAGTTGCCGCGCACCTGCCCAAGAGTGCCCATAGTAAAGAATCTCTCTATAAAAGGGAATCCCAAGTGACGGTCTCTCATTCTTGGTAAATCTCTCTTTCTCTCTCTCTCTCTCTACTTCTCTCTCTCTCTCTACTTCTCTCTCTGTCTCTTTCTCTATCTCTCTACACTCCTTCCTCTCCTTCTTCCCTGCCTTGACTCCTTATTCTCGATTCTTCTTCTTTTTTTTTCTCCTTCTCTCTCACGCTTATGTTTCTAACTTACTTCCCTCAGGTGCCTCCTCTCCTAGGAGAGTAATCTTGATCCCATCACATTTATACAAGATCAACGTTACTCTTCTTTCCTTTTCGGACTTGAGCCAACTGCATCCTGCATCTCCATCTAGACGGTGAGTACTACATCCGCCCCCTCCCACCAACTCTCTACCCTGCCCCAGATTTCGCTTTACTAACTACTGACTCCTCCTCTTCTGAATATGACAGCCATGGCTGAGACCAAACAGCTCAGGGGCCAGCCTACCCCTACGGCTGACCTGGCGAGCTCCAACACCCGGATGGAGCTCCCTCCAGAAGCCTATGTTCTAGGTGGAGGGAAGAGTCCATTCGCGCTTCGAAACAACAAGTTCAACACTGAAGGCACGTCGGACATGGTCTACGTGAACCAGTACCGCGTCAAGAAGGTTGACTTTACCAAGAAGGTCTACCAGTATGATGTATGCCACACACAAACACGCACACGCGCTCTCTCTCTCCCCTTTTCTCTCTTTCCCTCTCCCTCTCTCCCTCTCTCCTGTGCTTCACTGACACACACACCCTCCCCCTACTCTAGGTCACGGTCTCTCCCGATGACCGCAAGCTTCCCATGAACAAGATCCTCGAAAGCTCCGAGATCAAGGATGCTCTCAGCAGATACAACTATCCCACGTGGATTTTTGATGGCCGCAAGATGGCTTGGGCCCCCGCTCTCGTCGATAGGGGTGAATGCCGCGTCAAGGTTGACCTTGACAAGGACAGGCGTCCCCCCGGTGGTTCCATCAAGCCGGGTTCCGTCTTCCACGTCACTCTTCGCCGCACCACCGAGATAGACCTGTCCGTTCTGCAGGGCTATCTCGAGAGTAAGGTCGAGTTCACTAACAAGGTCGTCGAATCGCTCAACTTCATGGACCATCTCCTCCGGCAGGGTCCCTCCGGAAAGTTCTCAACGATCAAGCGCAGCTTCTACGACCCTGACCAGAAGGGTCGTCCGCTCGGCGATGGACGCCTGATCGACGTTCACAAGGGACTCTACGCCTCTATCCGCCTTAGTCACAACTTGGCTCAGGGCGGTGTCGGCCTTGCCCTCAACTGCGACGTTGCCAACACGTCGTTCTGGGTGGGGAACCAGTCCATGGACCAGCTCGTCTGTCACTTCCTCGCCTCGTGCGATGGTTTGTTTTGCAACCTGGACCCTGCCACGACTCTAGGCTACCACCTTCGGCCCGTACAGCGCAGAGATGGCCAGTTCCAGTCCACTGAGGCCTTCAAGACGCTGCGCAAGCTTCGCCGCCTCAAGTTCAACGTCCGGCACGCTAACCGGAAGAACCCCGAAAAGGTCTTCACCGTCGAGGACTTTATGTTTGGCCCTGAATACTGCCCCGAAGGCTGCACCGCCACCAACGTCAATTTTGATCACGAAGGCAAGCAGACGTCTGTCTTTGACTATTACCGCAAAAAGTACGGCGTCACTCTACGCTACCCCAAGCTTCCCCTGATTGACGCCGGAAAGGGCGGGGCTGTGCCCATGGAGCTCGCCTTCATCCTCCCCATGCAGCGTTACATGTTCAAGCTCAGTGGGAAGCATACCGATGCTATGATCAAGATTGCCGTCACCAAGCCCGCCGAGAGGAGGCGGGACATTGAGCAGAGGGTCAAGGGGCTGGACCTCCAGAACGACCGCCACCTCCGCTTCTACGGCGTCGAGTTTGACGCCAACTTTGCCCAGACCAAGGCAAAGATCCTGGCGCCCCCGATCGTCAACTTCAAGCAGGGTAGGCAGGAGCCGCGCTTTGCCGGCCGATGGAGACTCGACCAGGGAAACATTCGCTTCTGGAAGCCCAACCAGAGGCCCCTTGTTGCCTGGGGCATTATCGCCATGGACAACTGCCTTCCTGGCCCGGGTGCCATGACGGCCTTTGTCAACAAGTTCCGCACTACCTTTATCCGTCACGGAGGTAGCTGCCCCGAGCCCGGCATGGTGCTCAGTGTCCCCGGAGCATCCAAGGCCAACGGTGCCGAGGCTGTTGAGTTTGCCCACAACCAGATCCGTCGGGCTAGGGGCTACACCCAGCTCCTCTTCATCGTTGTCGGCTTCAAGAACTCGCCCCACTACGAGCGTCTCAAGAAGAATGCGGACTGCCGCTTCGGCATACTCTCCCAGATCGTCACCCACGCCAACGTCGGCAACGACGCCGGCAACTCGCAGTACATATCCAATGTCTGTATGAAGGTCAACGCCAAGCTTGGCGGCAGCACGTCGCGAACCGCCACTCCCTTTGGAAAGAGCCCGACGTACTTCCCTCCAAACCGCCCCACGATGCAGATCGGCATGGACGTCTCCCACGCCGCCCCCGGAGCCAACTCGCCGTCGGTGGCTGCTATGACGATGAACTGCGACGCGGACGCCAACCGCTTCGCTGCCGCCGTCGAGAGCAACAGCTACCGGATGGAGACGGTCCACCCGGCCAACCTGCACATGTTCCTGGACCTTCTCTACGCCGTCTGGTGCAAGGGACACAACGGCGCGACGCCGGGCCATGTCATGTACTTCCGTGACGGCGTTGCCGAGGGCCAGTTCGCCCAGGTCATCGACAGGGAGGTTGATGAGATGAAACGCTGGTTCCGCTCCAGGAAGAAGGCCATGCCCAAGTTTACCGTCATTGTCGCCACCAAGAGGCACCACATCCGCTTCTTCCCCGGTCCCGACCAGCGCACCAAGGGTGGCGACCAGAACCTGAATCCCAAGCCTGGGCTCCTCGTCGAGCACGAGGTCACCCACCCCTTTATGTGGGACTTTTACCTCAACTCGCACAAGGCCATCCAGGGGACGGCGCGTCCCATTCACTACTATGTGATCCTGGACGAGATGAACTGCCCCGTCAACGACTTGCAGCGCATCATCTACCACCAGTGCTACTCGTACGTGCGCTCCACCACTCCGGTCTCGATCCATCCGGCTATCTACTATGCCCACCTGGCTTGCAACCGCGCCCGTCAGCACGAGAACATTTCCATCTATGAGGGCTTCCGTTCCGGCGGCAAGGGCCACGAGTTTGTTCGCAACAGGGTCTCCAAGGGCCAGGAATTCGAAGAGATACCCCAAGGAACCGAGGCCCCGACCCTTCTCGAAGTCGGTGGCAGGATCCCTCCTACTGGCATGGCGCCCGATGAGATTGCTCAGCGCGAATTCATTAAGGAGACGATGTGGTACATCTAAGAGGGAAAAAGAGGCCGAGGGTGAGGTGGGCTATTCGCCCTTTTGCTCTTTACCTTTTTTTTTTTTCTTGCAGCTTGACCACATACAGCGGGCAGCATGGAACATGGGAATCACGGGAAAGGGACTAGAATGGGAGCTTGCTATTGCAGTGGTGAGGACGTGGGTGGAAGGCTATGGGCTTGGTGAGGCGAGGAATATGAATTCATGTTTCTTGTAACCATTTGTAGCTTGCCGAATCTATTAGGACGCGAAAGGTCGGTTTAATCGGGCGTTAGTAGTTTAGATATTTACAAGTTGAATCTTGCGATTTTGCTCTTTTTTTATCATTATAATTTGCATCGGGTCATTTTTCCGCGGGATCGTAATGTTGAAAAGTTGACTTCTTTTCACAAATTTGGGGGGTTTTTGTTTTGTTTTGCATCCAGGGTATCTGATCTGTCTTGTAATCCACCATTCCTCCCCCCCCCCCAAAAAAAAAGTAGATTGGATGGGAAAGAATCAAACGGTACAAGAGATGGAAAATGACGAAGGAGAAGAAGAAGAAGCAAAAAAAGAGGTATGTATACATACTAATAATGGAAAAGAAGAGCTACAAGACATGTGACGAGTTGTAAGAAGAAGAAAGATAGAAAAAAAAAAAAACCCCTTAGAAAAACTTGCTCTTCAAGCCTCCCACGACGACATTCCTCTTCTGCCGATTGATAAACTTATTCACGTCGTCTGCCCAGCCCTGACTCTGCTCCTGGAGGTTATCCATATTGTCACCCATAATGTTGAGCTTCTCCGTGCGTTCATTGAGTTGACGGGTCAGATAGTCGCCCCAACCTTCCTGGCTGGGACTCCTGGGTTTGTTGGCGTTGTGGGAAGAAGGTCCCGAGCCGGCTGCTGCTGCTGCCGCCGCGCGCTTCTCCGAGGCGGCCGCTTCGAGCATACGCTTGCTCGGGGGGCGGTCGAGACCGCCAACCAGGATGTCCAGGTCTAGCGGGGACACGTACTGCGTTCCCGAGATCCACTGCATGTTGGATATGGTGGGGCGGGGGGGGCATTCCAGCTTCGGGTTGACGAGGGTATCGAGGGACTGCTTGAGAGGCTGGCCTGCGCCCCAGACGTGCACGACCGCCATCTCGCTGGGTCCGGTCCAGGCGAAGACGTCGCCCGTCTGCGTGACCGTCAGGTTGGTCGACCGGCTGAGGTCCATCATGGGGAGGTCGGCCTTGCCGATCTCGCGGAGCCCCGGGATCGAAAACGCCCGCGCCGTCGAGTCGCCGAACACGCCTACCACCGCTATTCCCTGGAGCTCTAGCTCAGCTACGGCCGCCGCGTCGCACAGTATGTCATCGAACTCCTTGGAGGCGCCTTTGGAGTTTGCCGGGCGGAAGATGCGTATCTCCTTCTCCGTCACCGCCACCACCACGCCGTCCACCTGCCTGCCCTCGCGGAGCCCGGCGACGATGGGCCCTGTTGCCAGCGCAGGCTTGCCCGTGTGGGCGTCTATCGGGTTGAGGGAGATGATACGGTCGTCAAGGGTAACCACGCCCGCCAGCTCGACCGAGTATCCGCCGTTGTTGGGCAGCAGCTTGAACGTGATGACCTTGCCCAGGTTGGTGCCCACGAAGCAGCAGATGCTCGAGTACTTGTCGTCGTCGAGCGTCATGACGCTAAACTCAATCACCACCGGCCACTCCTTCTGCGGTGGCGCCGAGTTGGACCGTCCGTGGCCCTTGAGGAACGTCCGGCGCTTGTCCTGCTTGGCAAACTCCGTCATCGGGGCCTGGTAAATGATCTTGGGACCGCGCAGGTCGACTATTGCGAGGAACCCGAGCTCCGACCCGACGGCCACGAAGCCCACGTTAGACACCTGCACCGCCGTCACGGACCCTTGCATCATCTCATACAGGAGGAACGGCTGCAGCCCCTCGCGAAGGGTGGGCTCCGACCGGGAGCTGATGTCCGTCAGGTCCATCGGATTTGGGTCCATGTGCCGCTGCGTGTCCTTGCCGTAGAAGCGGTTCCCCCCCCACCGGAAGACGAGCAGCTCGCCCGCGCGCGTGCCCACGACGAACTCGCCCGTGCCGCTGGCCAGGTTCATGGCCGTCACCTCGATGTCGTCGGTTCGATCCAGCGCCCGCGCCAGGTCCACCTGCAGCTGGCTGCTGTTCTCGATCTCGTCGGCGTGGCCCGAGTCCCACAGCCGGATGGTGCCGTCGGCCTGCGCTGCCTGGATAATGGTGCGCTCCTCGAACCTCTTGCGCGGCAACGGCGCCTCGGCTCCTCCGGTCAGGATCGGCTCGCCCTGGTCACGCTTCTCCACCATGGCCAGCCATCGGGGCCGTTCAACGCTGACCACGTTGACCCTGGTGATGAAGGGGTGCACGAAGAAGGTCGACGGATGCAGCTGGTTGGTGGGGTTGATGGGGTACCCCGAGGGGAAACTCATCGTGTACAGCTCGCCCGACGACAGCAGCGAGATGATGGCGATGGGGTCCTGGGCACCGCCAAAGTGCGGGGAGTCGCGGGGTATCAGGAGAAAGTCGACCGACTGGGCGCCAAGAGGCAGGGGCAGTTCGAGTTGCCGCTTGCCCTTGCAGTACTCGGCGAGCATGTTCCACGTAGACGTGGCCCAGACGGGAGTGATGCCGAAGTCGATAAAGGTCATGGTCTTGGGGGAGGCGTCGAGGGCCTGGCCGCCGGCGACCAAGAGGCCAGAGTCGTCGCAATTCTTCTTGCAGCACCAAGCCAGCTTGGTAAAGGGCTCAATGGCCGATGCGTGCACCTGGTTGGCACCCGGTCGGTCGACATTCATGTGGGATAGGGAGCGGGCGAGCACTATGCGCGCCTCGCGGGGCTCCCAGAAGACGAGACTGCCATCGTCGTGGGCTGTGACGACAAAGGTCCCGGAGGGATGCCAGGCGGCGTGGGTCAGGCGCGGATGCCGGACCTCGTCGAGGCCAATGCCGTTGCCACCGGGCGCGCCGCGGGGCACAGCGTACTGGAGGAACTGGACTGCCTTGTTCTGCTTGAACGAGTAGACGACGGCGCCGTGGGTGTATGCGATGAGCATCTTTCCGACGTCGCGGGGATGCAGGGACATGGAGATGAGGGCGACGCCACGAGCCTGAGGGTCGCGCTCGGCCCAGAAGTTGGGGAGGCGGAAGCACCGCGACAGGCTCATCCTGTCGAGGTCATAGGCGACAATCTCGCCTCCCTGGAGGCCGATGAAGGCCCAGTCCAGCATGGGGTCCGTCACCATGGACACGATGCGGCCGGCGATGACCTGGGAGCCCAGACGCCCTCCCGTGCCCAGGTCCCAGATGCTGACTTCGTTCCTCGAGTCGACGCTGACGAGGCGGTTGGCGGTAAACTTAATATCGAGAATGGACGTGGGCCTCGGGGGGTTCAGGAATTTCTGCACGCGCTTCTGGCCGTAGACGTAGATCTTGCCCGGGCCGTATTTGCTCTCGCTGGTGCCGACGGCCATTAGCGACTGCACGGGCTCGTAGGCCAGGCAGCTGATCTGGGAGTTGATACCGTAGCGGGCCTGGTCGTCTGGGGTGAAGAGCTCTGGTCTGATGTCGGCGGACAGATCATTTTGGATCCCCGCTTGCTTGCCACGTATAAAGCTTGACATGGTGGCTGTCCGCCTGGGGTGGGGTTGTGTATGAGGGAGGAGGTATGAGGGGTATCTAGAAGGCGGAGGAGAACTCCGAAGAGAAAAGTGACGATGGGAGATATTACCACCGTCGACCTGTATATGGTCACGTATTTGAGTCGGGAAGAGATCAGATGGGGAGGGAGAGGAGGAGGGGATATAAGGGAAAATGAAGCTGGACATAAAGCTGACGATCAAGTTGGAGAATGAGGCTATGGAGAACCGCGGGGCAGGGAGCAACGTCATGTACAGTATGGATCTGTATTTTGCGCACGCGAACACTGTGTGGTTGAACTACCCGGTACTTGCCTAGATGAGATATATTCAGCTCTTTCCCCTCCTCTCCCCCCATCATTGTCATCATTTCCCTATATATCGCTCTTGTTAACTATCCAACATATGATATTCACCGTATGACGATGACTTCGAATATAGTCATGATTCATGGCTATATAACCTTATCAATCATAGATGGAAAACCATACGGTGCAGCGCTCCCTTTAAAACTGAGACAAGACCTGACAAACGAAGAGTACGCGTACATGATGCACTCTCCCCTTGTCACTCTGCGTGCCGTCCCAGATCCCTGCGCACTCTCCAGACCTTGGACCCCACCGGCCTCTTCTCATTCCCCGTGAGCACCTCTACCCAGCTCGCAGCCGCGACGTCATTGGCTTCACGGGCGTTCTCAGGCTCCATGTCCGAGTCATCCTCGCTCGTATCCTCAATCTGCTCCTCCACGCCATCAGCTGTCTTCTCCCCTGTTGTTGTGCTCGTCGTAGCGGCAGAGGCAGAAGCAGAAGCAGAAACACCGCCACCGTCGGATCTGTAATGCAGGTCCTCGGTATACGACCACTTAGGAACGTCGAATTTCCCGTGGACAAGCACGAGATCTCTCCCGCGACCATGTATCCCGCGCACCTGCTCGAGCGAAATGGGTGTAACGAGATGCAGCTCCCGTCTCGCCTTGTCGATGCCGCGGATCAGCACGAGCCCGACAGCACGCGAGTGTTTGGGGTCCAGGACGGCGTATCCCGGGCTGCGCAATAGGGGGATACCCTCTGGGGATGATGCAACCTGCGGGACCGGAGTAGGTCTACCGGGCTCGAGGAGGAGGTTGCGGTACGCCTTGGCGTCTTCCACCTCAACCAAGGCCAGGACCATGCCGTTGATTGAGTGGGCTGCCATGGCTAGATCGGGCTGGGCATCGTAAAACAGGATACCTCGGATACCGGCTCGGGATCCCTCGTACGGGACCTGCCAGGGGGGCATAGCCGTAATGAGGGTCGCGTCCCAGGTGCCCGACGGCTTGGAGTGAAAGTACGACATCGTGTGCATGGCTCTGAGATGGGCGCCGGTTCTGGCTGTAAACTCCGAAGGCTGCGATGGTAATGTAGCCAGCGTGCTGGTAGTGACCGCCTGCAGGGCCTCGACCGTCTCGGAGGGCCCTTCCTCGGACATGTATATGACCTCGCTGGGGGCCATGGAGCTGATGACTTCATCTAGAATCTCCAGTCCAGCGCCAAGGACCCATCCAGGTGTGTTGATCACGAGGGGCACCTGCTCGTCGGCGAGGGTCCTGCGGTATTCAGCGAAGAGGTCCAGGGCAAAAGCGAGGTAGCAGTCCGTGTCGGAGGCAGGCGACACCGAGGCCAGGGCATGGCATCGGACGAGACGGTAGAATGACGGTCTAGGTAGCGTATGCGTGAAGGGGGGGCTGAGATTGGGCTTGGTGACATGGACGAGCGAGAGAGTTCCCGGGGGGTAATATTCTGGCTGACCAGGGTCAAGATCCAGCACCGCAACACCGCTGGCACTCGCTCGGCCGGTGACGAGTCGGTTAACTAGAATCTTGGAGAAGGTCGATTTGCCTGATGATTTTGGTCCGCACACAAGCACAGAAAAAGCCTTGGTAGCGGCGGCGTCGCTCGTGAGCGACGACAGTTTCTTGTTCCATGCCGGCGGGGAAACTAGTTCCTGGACGAAGCATTTCTTAGGGGCATCGCCTGATGAGCAGAGCTATGAAATCGTCAGTACCGTATACATATATAAGAAGAGAGGGAGAGAAGGGGTCAGCCCCAGGATAGTATACCATTTGAAACGTTCCCCCCCTCCCAGCCTCGTTCCACATCTTTCTAAACAAGGGAGAGAGACGTCCCAGCTGACGCAGGGCGAGGGAATCGGTATGAGAGTGAAGTTGGAGTCGCGTGTTCTCTCTGTTTCTGAGAACAGGCAGCGAATGGCAGAGAGGCGCATGGACCCAGTGGACATCATCGTCTGGTCGGAGCAAGGCACCTGCCACCGTGACTTCTCCTTCAAGGACCTTGACACCAAAGCTTCCGAGGACGACGAAGCGCTGATGGAAGATTGGGTGAGCACATGACATCTCGATATGATGTATGAGAGATAGATAGATAGATAGATAAAGAGAGAGAGAGAGAGAGAGAGAGAGAGAGAGAGAGAGAGAGAGAATATNGAGAGAGAGAGAGAGAGAGAGAGAGAGAGAGAGAGAGAGAGAGAGACGGCTGCTTACCTCACTCCCGCCGAGCCTGAGCTCCGTGATACCATCTGTCCTCACACGGCAATTCTGCTTCGTCGGGCGAAACGAGGAAAACTGAACGTTTACAGCACTATCTGCCACAGAAGGGTCACCCAGCTGCAGTGGCAGCTCTCCAGCCTTCTTGGCCGATGAGCGAGGGGCTTTGGAGCTTCTGGGGAAAGCGTTCGCAGCAGCGGCGGCAACCTGTGAAGGACTGTTTCCCTGACGGCTGAGACCCTGGAGAATACTAAAGGCATTATGACTTCCCACCGAGGAGCTCCTAGGAGCCTCTGGTGGTTCGGGAGGTTCGACGGTGCCTCGTCCAGCGAGCCGACGTCGTGCTGCAATGGCACTGATGGCACTCACATTGGCTATATAGAGCGGTTTTGATGTCAGCGTGTGATGAAGAGGGAGATGATGGCCTTGACAAGAAACCGAGGGACTCACCCTGTGAGGTATCGGTGCTATCTACTTTGCGCCTCTTGTTGGTCGACATGACGGGACCTGACTTGGATCCTTGAAGAGGCATCGAGAGTAAAAGTTGGTGAAGCTGGTATTGGTGGTGATAGTGGTCCTTATCGATAAGAGGGAAATATTACAGATCAATATTCTTACTCTGTTTTCTTAGATTCTGGCGATAATGCTAAAACATTTTCTTTCCAAAATATAAATCTTAGAATGATGAAACACTTGTGTATTCCATCCTCAAGTCTACATTACGATTACCACCTCTACTAATCGTCGTCATCTTCCATTCATTGATTTTCTGCTTCCCAGAGGCTGAAGAAACGCGTCTTGGAGGTTCAGGATAAGGACTTTGGACCCACAATCCAGCCCCACGCGCGCATATCAATTCCTCTTATCCAACCGCATCATTTTTTTTTCTCTCTTCTCGTCGTTCGCATCCGAGCTGATGACAAGGTGAACTCTACGACACCAAAAAAAAAAAAAAACATAGAGGAGAGGCGCAGAGCAATTCTCTTACCCGCTCATCCCCCATTGGGCTACTCGAGCCTTTCTCTAGACTATTCAGCCACAACTTGATCTTGCGCTCTCTGCCTATCCTTCAGACACTCACCATGACATCCCGTGAACCGTACCACGTTCACTCCCTCAAGGCGCACATTGCCAACACGAAAAAGGGCGTCAAGGCCGTAGCCGACAAGTTGAAGCCCAGCACGACGTCCTCCACCAAGAAGAGTGCGCCGGGAAAGGCAGCCAACGGCCTCTTCGACAACAATGACGACGACGAGGACGACAGCTCTTCCTCTGGCAGCGACAGCAGCGACGATGACGATGACGCCAAAGACTTCTTGAGCAAGCTGGCCACGGCCAAGAAGGCCAACGCGTCTGGTTCCATAAACACCGCTGACACTGCTGCTCCGTCTTCCAAGCGTCGCGGCAAAGATGAGGAGATTGCCGACAGCGATGTCGAGCGCCAATCGTCTGCCGCAAAGAAGAAGGGCAAGAAGAATGGCATCGCTTCTACCACCACCACCACTACCGCGACAACCTCAGCCACCTCTGACAGCTCCAGCTCCAGCTCCAGCTCCGAATCGGAATCAGAGGTCGATGCGAAAAAGACCGAGAACACCAAGGCCAAGGCCAAGGCTGCCAGCAGCGACAGCGGCAGCGACAGCGGCAGCGACAGCGGCAGCGACAGCAGTAGCACCAGCGAGGACGAGTCAGACAGCAGCGAGAGCGAGAGTGAGGCACTGGAAAAGGCCAAGGCACCTTCCAAGGCCAAGACGAGTCCCACAAAGACAAAGAAACAGCTCGAGCCCGAGTCCGAGTCTGCATCCGAGTCCGAGTCGAGCGAAGAGTCGGGCGAGGAAGAGGAGAGCAGCAGCGAAGAGGAGGATTCGGAACCGGAGCCGGAGCCCAAGAAGACCAAGGCCAAGGCCGAGCCCGCCCCCGAGAGCAAGCCTGTGGCCAGGCCCAAGGCTGCCACCACAAACGGCACGGCGTTGAGTAAGGAGACGGTAGAGGACAGTTCGAGCTCAGACGATGATGACGAGGACGAAGACGAGGAGATGGACGACGAGTCCATGCACATTGAGGCGCGCAACAGGGTCAGCGGAACGACCCCTCAGTTCATCGCCCCGGACTTCACCCTTTGCAAGGGTGACGGCAGCCTCAACGGAGAGGACGTGGCCCGCATCTGTAACCAGGCCAACCTGGACGGCAAGCAGCTGTGGTACTTTACCGTGCCGGCCAACGTGCCCGTGTCGGTGGTGCAGAGCATGCAGGTCCCCATGGATCAGAGCCAGAGGGGCGAGGCAGTCCTGTCACACAACGGGGAGCAGTACGCCATGGCCTTTGACGACGTGACGCCCAAGAGTACCATTCAGATCATGATTCCTTCTGCTTCTGATGCCCAGTACCGACCTGGTATGTTTTCTTCTTCTTCTTCTCTCTCTCTCTCCATACACACCCCTTGCTTCTTTTTTAATATTTTATATTTTTTATATCATAATTTTTACATGTCCCTCGATTTAATCCTCTGTAGCCCATCCACCCCCCCCCTACTGATATGAAGACTCGAGACTCATCGCTGACAAATGTGCAGCCCCCCGTCGAGTCGACCACGTCATGCACGTCAAGCGCATCACCCAGGCAGGCAGCCTGCCTACAGAGGGTCCGTCCGCCGTGACACCGGCCCCTCCACCGCCCGCCCGACCGCAGCCCGAGGGTCTACGCGCGCGTTTCACACCGCTCGGTGTCCCCACCACTCCCCATGTGACGTCGGAGGACGTCGAGATGGGCGAGGCACCCGTGCCTAAGAAGTCGAAAAAAGCCGCCACCGAGACCAAGCCTGCCAAGGAGAAGAAGTCGAAGAAGTCGAAGAAGACGGATGAGGATGAGACGGACAAGTCGTCAGCAGCAGCCCGCAAGAGGAAGATCGACACGTCGGACGAGGACGCGGCAGCAGCGGCAGAGCAGCTGATGATGGAGAGTCTGAGTCAGAGTCAGAATCAGAGCCAGTCGGCGGACTGCAAGGAAAAGACCACCAAGTCTACCAAGAGCAAGAAGCAAAAGACGGATCGCGAGGGAAGTCTCGATCTCGGATCCGACAGTACGAAGAAGAAGGAGACGCCCATCCCCCCACCGGCGGTGCCAGGCATGGTCACCCCCAAGAAGTTCACGCCAGTCCCGCTGCCTAGCTTCCCGGGCTCCTCTCAGACCGTCGCCGGTGCCGTCACCGCTCCGGTCGCGTCATCTCAGCTGGAGACGCCCGTGCCCGCTGCGGCGGCGAAGAAGTCTGGCAGGTCGAGGGAGAAGAAGAGCAAGAAGAGTGCTGCAAAGTCTTTTGTCGGTGACGGCGAGACCGTGAGCTAGAACCGTAGGATCATGTCGTATACTGAGTTTAAGGAGCGTCGCCTTGGCCTCTTGGGTAACCTTTTCTACTACCCTCGCTGAGTGCGGGGCAAAGCAAAACCTAAGCTGATCAGGCTTGACTCTTTTTTCCTCCCCTTCTTCTTCCATCTTCTACATTTCTTGCTTCCCGCCGTCATCCGATGTTATTCTTTATTTTTACTCTTTATTTTTTATTCGCTATCTGTTGTTATTTCGATTTTAGCTTCCATAGGATTGGGCTTTGCGCTTGATTTGTTCTCGCTGTTTTCACCCATATCCATGTTTATCTGAAGGGAGGAAAGGGAGGGGGGAGTTGTGCTTTTTATTTCTTCCTTTTATTATTTTTATTATTTTTTTCGTTCATGAGAAGGGAGTTTCTTATTTTCAGTTTCATTTTGTTTACATATCAGTTGAGGGGTGACGATGTGCTCCAGGACGTGTAGACCAGTTCGGTTAGAAGAAGATAACGAGAACAAGAATAAGAACTGGTCAACATGCCTGGATCTGAGGGCGCAGAGTATGCTGTTGAACAAGGGTTTGCTTGTCAATGCCGAGCCGAGGTGTTGGGTTGCCATATATTATGTATGTACGTACATTGGAGAGCGGCAATGTGGCGGCACGTAGACTACGAGATAGATAAGTTGGAATGGCGTAGGGCTGACTTGGTTCGGTAGTTGATAGTTGGGAGAATGTGTATTATTACTCCGTAGTCCAGTCCAGTATAAGCCGTTGAGGGGATGCGGAGTACGTGTATGAGTACGAGTAGCGCAGGTCATCGGATGCATCGCGTCCCGTATTCATGCATTCACGTATGGCCGTATATTAATTACTAAGCCTACCGGCCGTATTATTCTAAGCAATTTTTCTATGACCAGAGACAATAACGAGACACGGGTAAAAGGTATGTGTGGGTTAGAAGTGATGCGAGTCCGAGTGGTGAGGAGCTGTTTCAGATCGTTTCAATGTCTTGTTCTTGTTGAAGGGCGATGAAAGAGGATATAGAGTGAGGCTGGGAAATGTGGCGGTGAACGATTCTACTGGCGATCGACTAGATTGAGGATCTTCGATCCTTCCTTCTTTTTGCCAGTCCCCATGGTGTGCTCCTTCCCTTTTCTGTTCCTTCCTCTTTCGCGGTGATCCTTTTGCATGTGATTGACTATACATCACGGAAGATTACTAATGATTCGGGATGATGAGCTTCTACGAATCACGTACGTAGAGGGAGAAGAAGAGAAGACAAAGAAGACAAGAAGGAACCCCCCCCCCCCCCCCCCCCCCCCCACGGTAGGATATGACCGATTCTCGTTCTCAGTCGGACTATAAGAATCGAGCCAAGGCCGAAAATCACCGCTAGGGTCTTGTGACTTGGACGTAGTATAAGGAAAAAGACGGATACAAGAAAGGAAAAGTGGATAGATGGGTCATCTTTTTCACTGTTAGCCTCCCTTTCTCTCTGTCCTTGACGTCGTATCCGCTACTCATCGAGGGCCTAGTAATGATACTACTACTCGTACTGCTCCGTCCATATAACTAATAAGTGATAAACTTTGCATTAGATGAGCAGGCATTGACTAGACATTGAACATTCGGTGAGGGGATTTCCTAGTAATAATACACTGTCGTGGATGATGGCTGTAGCTGGTGAGAACCGCATAATGGACTCGTATTGTCTTTTTTCTTTCTTTTTTTCCCAGAGAAAGGAGCGCATTATGGAGTAATTATTATTGAGACGATTTATCCTTCATATGGCCCGTGTCACGTGTGGAGATTGGCAGCCACCAGGGCCCGATGGTTATTACGTAGGTGGTGCAGCACAAGGGCAGTATTCGTAGCTGTTCATTTTAATCAAGTGAGCTAGATTTAATCATGTAGTCTTGGCATAAGGCTACGTACATGTACTTTAGTTCCATCCCTCTCTCTCTCTCTTTAGCGAGGAGTCCAAGGACGGAGTACGGACACTCACGAGTAATTTTACGGCGTAATAGACTGTGATACAACTGTACGAATACGTCGGTGTACATACGGGTACCTACGGGTGTCTAAGGGTGCCTACATTCACCACCGTACCCCTCCGTATTATTACCCTCTTGCATACTTGAGAGGGAATATGGGAGATGTGCGACTTGTTTCATGGAGGAAAAGAAAAGGTACTGAGCGATAAAAACGGTCCATCAATCAGTACTCGCAGAGGTAGAGTAAGACCAACGAGTATCTGTATGAGTACGACTCCATACAGAATGGCGAGGATCAGCAGCATGAGCACGTCGTCGACGACCTGATGATATGAAAGAAATGCATGAAGAGTCGGAGTTAGTTGATTTAGGGATGATGAGCTGTGGGGGGGGGGGGGGGGGGGGGGGGGGGGGGGGGGGGGGGGGGGGGGGGGGGGGTAACTCGTGAGGGTTCAAATTTGATGGACTTGCAGTGGGGGGAGGTAAGTTAGTGGGCTGGTTAGTAGGTGACGGCCCTGTGAGCTGGACATGATGGGTATAGACAGCCCCCGGTATTCCGTAATCAGGCCTTTCTTTCCCTCCTCCGTCCAAGTCTGGACATGTATCATACAGAGTGATGCGGTATGAGATGATCAGTACGAGTAGTTGATGATGACGGAGACGAGGTACGGAAGAAAAGACATCAATGCTCCCTTACAATTGACTCGTTGTTTATTCTCCTAATCATGAATGCTAAACTCTTCATGTATGTGAACCTTTTGCCGTCAGATTCACATGTAAACATGTAATACTGCTCTAAGTCCTGGCGTCACATGTCACGTGCTCTCCATGATCCTGGGCATGACGTTGATAGCGCCATTGACTGTAGCAGTATTGATACTTCCTAGCATTGATGCTTATATTGATCCAGTGAACCTACCCTTATATACTGGCATAATAAATACAATGAATGCTACGGAGTGAAACCTGTGAAACCATTACGATTACGCGGTATCATTATTGCTTGCTGTTCTACGGGTACCAGGAAATGACAAGAGACGACGGAGACGGGGTTGACCGACGAGACCGTGGTCCCCGCGACTATGCCCAGATGGACCGTGTAAAACAAATCACAGGGATCCCGTAATAAACGGAAGGTCCCCCTTCCTCGGGCTCCGTACATGTCATGTACAGGTACTCCGGAACTAGAGGAAGTCGAGACGGTACTCTATACATCGGGGACTTGTACTCTGAGAGTGCCGAGCTTTTTCTACAATCTGATTGGGCTACGCGACGACATACCGATGTAACTCCAGCGTGAATCACAATCTCTCCCCCCCATGCCCTTCTGCTTCTCACGCACACCCTCACCCTCCCTCTTGCCAAGACACTTGCCAAGACTACGCGAGTCCCACGGAGGGAGTGCCAAGAGCCCCAGGAGTGCCAAGGACCCCGAGAGTGCCAAGAGCCAAGACTTGGATTAAGGGGGGCGGCGGCGCATGTGAGTCCCAGTGGCAGAGTGCCAGCGCAGGGTTGCTGGCGCAGTGGGTGAGTGAGAGGCGTGATCAGCAACAAGTGTCATGCGGCCGCTTGCCTGCACTGCAGCAGAGGGAGTTTCAGAGAGAGTACGCGGTGGTGGTAGTATTCGTGGTAGTCAGATTAAGAGACATGACGGGTTTAAGCGAGAGCGAGAGAGAGAGCGAGAGGGCGAGAGAGAGAGAGTGTGTGTGTGTGGTGGGTGTGTATGTGTATGCGTGCACTTTCTGTCCTACGTCGTACGAGGGTAAATGAAAGGGGTATTTATTAGTATTACTGCTCGTATTATTATTGCATTCTATCCTTGCCCACTACAGATATTATATTGCTCCGTAAGAGCACTCATTCGTGTGGCAAAAGAAAAAGGAAAGAAAAATCAGTTAGTGCCCATGGTTGTCATGAATGGAATGCCGTGGAGTTCGGGCTTCACCAAGACTCCGTAGAGCACGCGAGTGCGAGTGCCGACCGGGACAGATCCAGCGTTGGCCCCCCGAACTCCAGCCTCCCAGGACACTGAAAAGGTTGAGATGCAGAGGATCGATGAATCACACGGGCAGCTGCGAGTGAAAGCCTGGCGGCTAATGGCCAACCGGTATCCGCCAGAATGTCCGCTGCACCTGGTGGTAATATGGAGCTGGGTAGAGAGGCTAGAGGTGGCATCCACGGAGCCGTTGCTAATATCCGTCCACCTCGCTCTCGGCCTCGCTCTGGCCCTATGGACCGACCCCCTAAGGCCAAGGATAAAGTACTCTCAACCCTCCCCTCCTCCTTGTCAGGGGGGTTGAACATGCCTGAGACGTGAAGAGTTGGACATGGTTTCGTGCTCACGATCTTGCTGGTAGTAGCAGCAGTCAACCTGCCTCCTCCTCTCTCCCGCCCTATCTATCCCGAGGTGCAACTAAAGCCGTACGAGTACTCGTACACGCTAGAGGAACAGGAATAACAGACGAATATGACGGACGTAGCTGAGAAGATCATGTTCGCTCACAACCGTAGAGCGAACGGGCACAGGGATGCGCAGGCAGTGTACACGTACTCGTACGAGTTGAGCAGACAGCATGACCAGCTGGGCAACTGGGCAACTGGATCAACCACGCGCATTGTGGGGGCTGTAATCCCTGCTAGAGCAGAAGGTACATGATCCATCTGTACCAGGGTACTGCCATTCCGTGCCATCCGAGGAAACAGACGTGAACTTTGCAGGAGGTGTAGGCTGTATCTGTATTATTAGTCGTGGTACTAACACTGTCCGTACTGGCGATGCAATATAATCGATAGCGAGTAGCAGCACTCTACTCCTACAGCAGTGGTGTAGACGCTACGGAAAGTTGTGACTCGTACCCTGTCGGTCCAATTCTGCTTGTCAGTCCAGACTAGACTCTCTACGCTCTCGTGCTTCCGTATTGTCCGTGTCCGTATCACCCCAAGGCTCTGGGACGGTACGAGTATCTGTCCGTAATCCGTAAATACTTGTCAAGCTAAAAGTCGCCGGGTTGGACAGGGACATGGCATGAGTACCTGGAAAGCCCTCCAGGAATAGATGTGGGCCTGGGCTGATACAAGTACCTGTACCATAGAGGTTGTCTTCACAGAGTACATCGCAGACACGGAATACCCCCTATTATCCAGTCCCACCGTAATGTGATAGTGCTGATTTGTAGGTACTCATACATGTACTCGTAGTGCTAAGCCATAGGCGTATTTTGTACTAGTAACAGCGGAATATTCTGTAAACTGTATTATTAGTATCTGTCGGGTGACGCCTTGCCTTCTTGCTGCTCTCTTACCGTTTCGCTCCTTCCTTACTTTTTTCTCTCTCTCTCTCTAGCTTTTCTCACTCCCTCCTTCCGCTTTCTCCATTCCTTCCTAACTTATTACCTAACCCTCATCTTATTTTCTTCTTCTCTATTATACTTTTATCTTCTTCTCTTTCCTCTCTCTCTCTCACCCTCTCACCCTCTAACCCTCTCTCTCACCTTCTCCTCTCCTCCCCTCCCTCCCCTCCTCCCCCCTCTCTTCTTTTCCCTCTGCTCTAATCTTATTATACCTCGTCGTAATCCCCCCTCCCCCACAGGCTTTCTTCACAAGCCACCGCCACCACCTGGCGTCGCGTCACACGGCCAACTGTCTAATCTCACCCGGGAGTTTCTTGTCTTCTTTTCTTCCCACCTCCCCCTCGACTCGCGTGGCTATGAATTAAATCGCCTCTGTGCATCTTTCCCACCCGACAAACAAGCGCCAATCTCGACTTCCACGCTCGAGTATTGCTGTTCGCTTTTCGACGCAGCTCTTCGCGACGACTACGACAACGCCAACTACGATCCCGCGATACGAACCCCACCCTGATCCGAGCCACCCGGTCTTGTCTTCTTGTTTGCCTGCCTGCCTACTCGCCTGGCTTACTTGTCGCCGCCATGTCCGAACTTCCTGGTCCCTTTGGCGAGCTGCCCAAGCCCAAGCCCAACCTCGGCACCATCCTCACAGAGAACCTCCACCCGCTCATCCTGAGTCATCTCCCCGCCCGATACCAGACTGCTGGCCGCCAACGGAGCCGCTCTAAGCCTAAGAGCTACCACCCTGACGCCAACTCCATCACTGCTCTCAAGACGTCCTTCAGCGTGTGGGATGGCGTGCGCGAGCTCCAGAGGCATCGCTGGTCAGAGTCTGATCTCCAGCATGCCGTCATTGCCGCTCTCATCCTCTTCTCTTTCTACGTTGCACCCCCCGCACCGGTAACCAAGCTCTTGGCTCTCATCGGCGGAGCTTGGCTGCTGCTCATGCCTGCCACTGGACAGTTCTTTCGCCCTTCCCTAGTCATCTGGACGTGGCTACTATACTTCTTCTGCAGCCGGTATGTTATTTCTCTAGCCTTCTGCATCCGGTCTTGTTCTCCCGCTCAGTGGTTACGAAACCCACATGGGTGCAACACGTCGATGATTCTCTCTGCTGCCACGCGACAGCATGTACCATGACAACGGCTATGATGCTGACACTCTTGCTAGCTTTATCCCGTACGACTACCGCCCTCACATCTGGGTCCGCGTTCTGCCCGCGCTCGAAAATGTCCTCTACGGCGCAAACCTGTCCAACATCATGTCCGCCCACCAGCACCCCATTCTCGACATCCTCGCATGGCTCCCCTACGGCATCATGCACTTTGGAGCCCCCGCAGTCTGCTCCCTTGTCCTCTTCATCTTTGGCGCGCCGGGAACAACGCCCGTCTTTGCCCGCTGCTTCGGCTGGATGTGCATCTTGGGTGTCACCATTCAGCTGTGCTTCCCCTGCACCCCTCCCTGGTACGAGAACGAGCACGGCCTGACCCCTGCGGCCTACGGGATGCCCGGATCGCCCGCCGGCCTGGCCCGCCTCGACGCAATCTTCGGCATCGACCTGTACACGACCAACTTCAGCACTGCCCCTCTCCCCTTTGGCGCCTTCCCCTCGCTCCACGCGGCCAACGCTGTCCTGGAGGCTCTGTTTATGAGCCACTGCTTCCCCCAGTTCCGCACCTACTTCATCGTCTACGCGGGCTGGGTCTGGTGGGCCACCATGTACCTCAGCCACCACTATGCCATCGATCTGGTCGGCGGCGGCATCATTGCCGCCACCTTCTACTACACGGCCCGCGCCCGCTGGTTGCCCCGACGACAGGCCGACAAGCTCCTGCGTTGGGAGTACGAGTACGTCGAGAAAGGCGAGACCAATGAGACGATTGACGAGGAGCGCAACGACAATTACTTTAAAGCCGGCCTGCTTAGCCATCGCCGCGCCAGTTCCAGCTCCGGTGTCACCCTCGCCAGCGCCTCGTCTTCGTGGGGATCCAGCAGCGGTACCATGAGCCCCAGGACACCCGATGTGCTGCTACCGGATGGCCTCGCCCACACGGGAGGCCAGGGGAACCTCTGGGAAAAGGTAGCCTCCCAGCGCGAGGTTGAACTCACAGATGTGGTGATTGTGAGATAATGACGACAACGCTCATGATTTGCGTACTATTAATTAATACTTAATACCCCCTCATCACTTTTTCTTTCTTCACACCCAACACCCGGAAAACGGCCTCAGCATACACATTCGACGACTTAATATCGAATTACACCCTCGCCAGTCCTCTTTGCATCGGCCGGAACAGTTTTTGCATTAAAGAGGACACCGTCGAAGCGAATGAGCTGTATTTTATTCTTTTTTCCTTTCAGCATCCATCGTTAGAGCGACACGAACGGAGCATTTCGTCTTTTTTTCCCCACTATATATTTCCTTTTTTCTTTTTTCTCAACGGCCCCCATCTGTCGCATTTCATCACACTCGTTCTAGACAACACAAAAAAAGGAAGGAAGAAGTCATTCAGAGGCTCTTTGAGAGATTCTCTCTTCTGCTACATAACAAATAATGTTTTGTATATTACCGTTGGAGTAATACTACTCTTTTAATGAAGGATCAAGGGCTCATTTATCCTATCCCCGGATATGCTGGCAGCTGGCAGACTCTTGACATGACGGGGGAAACATTCGCTTGAAGCGATTATGGAGAGGGGGAGAGAGGCAATACCGTCAATGGTCAATGATATACATTTTTGGCTAGAATAGGTATCTTGTAAAGAATACAAGACAAAATTCCACATGACGACTCAGTTTGCCCAGCTTCAATCAAGCACGTAACGACAAGACGCAAAATAAGATGTGTGCAAAACAGATGAAAATAAAATCGTGGTATTTCATTGTACTCATAAAATATGCCATATCTGAAGAGAAGGAAAAAAATGATAGAAAAAACACGGATGGTAAATGACATTCCGTCAAGAGATGTGAAAAGTTTTTTTTTTAAAAAATAAAATAAAAAAAACTTCTCCCCTCCGGCTACCTAGCACCCGTCCACAGACCCTGGCTCGTCTCGACGACATGGTTGGCAGAGTTTCCAGGAAGAAGGGAAGGAGGAACGGAATCGTCAGCCATGGCGACATCCTCGGGGACAGGACGGACGTTTTCCAAGTCTGGCGTAGACACGGAGATGGCACTGTCGTCTTTGCGTCCGGCAGCGTCGGGACCGGCGGGGCCACCCCTGGCAGGCTCGTTGGACTGTGCGCCGTCCATGAAGATGTTCTGAGCCTCGCGGAGCTTGTTGATGGCCCTGACGGTGTCGATGGCGGTGTGGAGGGTGCGCCTGGCATTGAAGTTCTTCTTGATGGTCGGCAGCAGGTTCTGGGCGCCCTGGGTGTCGGACGAGGGCATCTGGGCGGCGACGAAGGGGTGCTGGAGGGCGTCGTGGGCGGTGATGCGGGCGGACGGGTCGACGGTGAGGCAGAGGCGGATGAAGTCTCGGGCGTGTCGGGAGACGCCCCTCCAGTACTCGACCGGGGTGAAGGAGTAGTCGGCGTTGAGGATGGCCTGCATCTCCTCAAAGTCGGAGTCGCGATCAAAGGGCGTGTAGCCGCACAGGAGGAAGTAGGTGATGACGCCGAGGGCCCAGAGGTCGACGGGCTTGCCGTGACCCGTCTTCTTGAAGATCTCGGGTGCCATGTAGCCCGGGGTGCCGCACGTCGTCGTCAGCACGTGGAACTGCTCCTCATCCATGATGCGCGAGAGACCGAAGTCGGCGATCAGGAGCTCAGCATTGTCCTCCGGCGTGCGGAACAGGAGGTTCTCCGGCTTCAGGTCGCGGTGCACGATGCCGTGGTCGTGGAGGTACGTCACCGCCGACAGCGTGGCGCGGATCAGGTCCGCCGCGTCCGACTCGTAGTACGACCCCTTGCGGCAGATGCGGTCGAACAGCTCGCCTCCGAGAGCCAGGTCCGTCACCAGGTATAGGTTGTTCATCGTCTCGAAGTAGTCGACTAGCGTCAGGATGTTTTGGTGGCCCATCGATACCTTTTTGAGGACGGCGATTTCATTGCGGACCTTGAGGGGGTGGGGTCAGTCATAATATTGATGACGATGCGAGGAGCAAGAAGAAGAAGGAGAAGAAGGGGAGGGAAAGGATAGAAAGAAGAGAGAGAGAAAGACTTACCATGTGTTCTCTTCCTGTCATGAGCCTCTTGTTTATCACCTTGGCGGCATAGTACCGCCCGGTGTCGATGTGTACGCACTCCTTGACGACAGAGTACGACCCGGCACCGAGGGTCTTGCCAACCTTGTACCGGCAAGGTTGAATCTGTGGTTGTCGGTCCATCTCGGATGTTTTCTTCTTCTTCTTCTTTTCTCTCTCTCTGTCTTTGTTCTTCGGTGTCCCTCTATTCTTTGTTGTATATGTAGTTGATGATGTTCGGGTTGTTGTCGAGGGTTGAGCTTCAGCCCTCCCCGCAGTGGTGGCGATATGCGATTCGGATATGGCGGCGTGTCTGTGTGCTATCTGTGGTCTGGACGTGAGAGGCGAAAGGCAGAGTAGAATTCGATGGGTATCTCCAGTGGTGAAGGGACGATATATACTACCAGTAATACTGATGAAACTCCGTCTGTCGGTGGAGATGGATCAAGGAGAGGAGTCCCTTGTGTGTGTGCAACGGTTCGAAAGGTGGCGTGTGTGGGGGGAGGAGGGGGAGGGGGTGACAAGAAAAGGAGGCTCCACTTTGGATTTTGCACGCTGGATCTTGCATTTCTCTCAGAGGACAGGATGATGTCGCTCGCAGGGAACATGAGGTATTACCATCAAGTACCAGTAGTAGTACTAGCATTTATTTATCGCATTGTCGATGGCATCCTCTATATCCCGTCTCTCTCTATTCTATATGTGGTGGTGGTGGTGGTATACTGGAGTAGTGTCAACTCCGACTCCGTCTAGATTACGGTACGTAGTGTTACAGCATACGCATATACCAACTCGGAGGTCACCATCATGCCAGCACCAACCTGGTACATTGACAGTCTCGCTGTCGCTGTCTCTGATACAACCCGATACCCATAGCCTTGTACATGTCTTTGCACAACACATCCCAAGACTTCGAGACCCTTCAAGACTATTCGTCCCCGCCCTTGCGAGACTTTTTCTTGTTACTCTGTAGCTTCTTTGACTTGACGCGAGCATCGTGGAAGTGTCTTGTCCTGTCATTGTAGCGCTCTCAGTCAACAGATGCAGATTCAAAGACGGAAAGACAGGATGGGCAGGGAAAAGAAAGAAAAGAGGAACGAATATGAAGAAAGAAAGAAGATAACCCATACACTTCCTCGTATTTTTGCTTCTTATCTTCACTCGTCTCATTAGGCGTATTCTCCCGATAGATCCTCACGATCTCGTCCATCAGCTTGCGCGAGTTTTCCTCCTGGTTGGCCGTCCTGGACCTAGTCGTCTGCGCGTGGAATGTGAGGCTGTCGTTGCCAGCCGTGTAGTAACGCGATGATCGCACGTGCGTGTGCAGTGATTTGGGTAGCAGGGCTAGGAGTTCCCGTACTGGATAAGCCGTCGTGGCCTTGGTTTCGGTTCTGCGTGTCTCCGTATATCAGATGATCCCCGCTCGCTCTCGTATCAAGAGATGTGAACATATCAAAGGATAGGGCAACCCACTTGTTGACGTGCTGTCCACCCGCACCGCTAGATCGTGAAAAAGTCGTGTTTCCCCTGGGAAGTAGCGACGCGTCTAGCTTGGAGAACCACGCGCGTGCTTCGGACAGTGAATCCCTGTCGAGACGGGCATCGAATGCTTCATATCGTCTACCTCGTGTGGTTGTCAAGGGGAGAAGCAATCGAGATTGGATACCGTGATGATGATGATGATGACTCAATGTCCTCAGGAGTCGTAGACAGGTTCTGGGTTCCAGGGACAGCCCCATGATGGGAGCATTTCTCATGAGTTGGGCACCAACATGAATATATCATTCAAGAAGAGAAGAGTAGAGCGGTAGAATGAAGAGAAAGAAAACGTCACTCTGCAGCCTTACGGGAGCATGCCACTCACTGTAGACGGGTGACAGGATACGACATGGTATGACGGCAAGTCCTGGGGTATACAAATTGATGCCTCAGGCATATATATATATATATATGGTCCCATTGTACTTCTGGTAGAAAGATACAGGTGTTGATACTTCTACACTATTAATATAATTATTACGATTACAGTATTAGGACTCGTACCCATCCATTATGATATGATATACATGTTCAGGTACTGCATACTCCGTAGATGATGTCTCAATAAGTAATACCCAGTCGAGGCTAGGACTTCTGTATGTTGACTTGCAGTCTGTAGAGCAGAGGCTGAGAGGCAATAATACTCGTAATAATACTCGTAGTCTCGTACATATAAAGCGAGACAATCCTGCCATACTTATCTCACCGCCTTCCTACCAGGGATTCCTTCCCAATCACCAGCGAAGAAGGAGCCACCGACCGACCAATTCTCTCGCTCCTTCCACACCCACCAGATAAATTGCGTGACTCTCGAGAAGCTCGAAGGAGAGGAAGAGAAGGAGGGGAAAAAAAAAAGAACAGGCTCATACCCATATTAAGAGAAGACATCACCAGATCAGGATTCTCTTGAGGTTCTCAAGTCCTTTCAAAGAGTCAACAGACGATACGAAAGTTGACATTGCCGGAATCTTACACTCTTCTTAACCTCAATCCCAGCTGACTCTGGAGTTTATTCATTTTACCTCTTGCCGCACCTCTACCTCTTGTCTGTTGGTTTATCCCGTCGGCCTCACACTCCCCCCTCCTCCCTTCTCTTCCACTTATCTATATCTGCTTTCGCCCTCCGTTTTATCAGCATCGCACAACGGCCGGCCTTGTTTCTATCCCCCCACCCTATCTATCTATCTACACCTGTCTATACCTGATCTCTCTACTTCTTTCTCTCTATTTCTCAAGAGCTCATCAGCCGCATAGATGCATCCCAATCATCCCAGCTGCTACTTTCATTCCTCGCCATACTAGCCGCCGCGATAGCCGCCGCGATAACCGTCCGCCCATCGGGACCCTATCGAGGACGGAAGACCTGCTATCATTCCTGTCACTGCTACTCTGATCTGCCAGCTCCATCTCATTCTGGGCCACCCGCCTCTCACCCCTCCAAAAGGCACACGACCCCACCTTCTGCTTTCATGACAGAGCAGCTCGAGGCAGAGCTGCAGGCTACTGCTAGCCTCTCCCCAGTCTCACCATCTCCTGTCCACACAGCCTCACCGCTTGTAGTGCCGGCCCTCCAGGAAACTGTCGACAATATAGATGCCATGGTGGCGGCCGTTGCCGCCGCCGAAGGCCCTGCCCCTGCCCCTGCCCCTGCCCGAGGGCAGCCCATCGTCGGCCATGCCGCTCACGAGAATGGCATCATCCCCAAGAAGAAGAAGCAGCAGCAGTCCCAGCAGTCCCGGCAGCAACATCCCGTTGTGCCAGTCCCACTCCCAGCTCCTCCTGGTCCCCAAGACGACAGCGACCCCCGTGATCAAGATATTGTAGACGATGACAACGATCCATACGGCGACGAGGCTGCCAGCACCGCTCATAACGTCCCTGCCCCCACCACCGCAGGCGACCCCGCCCAAGATGGGACTGACAGCGACGACTACGCCAAGATATTTGACTCCCCCATCAGCCCCGGCGAGGGTGAGGATGGGCAAGATGACGACTTTGGCAGAAGCATCCACGGACAAGGTCCTCAAGAGCAGCAGCATCGGCATCGGCCACATCCATCCCACATATCACCCCCAGGCAGCAAAGTTGCTGCAGCTGCCGCTATCCCCATGAGAGACATCCCGGCAGACGTCGCCCATTCTTCTTCGTCTGCCATCCGGTCCAAGGCAGATGCCCAGCGCTCCATGGCTGCTGCCAACGGCTCATACACCGACGGTCCGTACACCGACGGCTCCCACAGCCAAAACAGTGAAAGTACATCCCAGCCACCACCCATCGACCTCCAGAAGCTCGTGGCCGATCTGTCTCTGCCAAATCCAGACTCATCCTCTGCAAATACTGCTACCATCTCGTCCGGGAAACCCGCTGCTCTCGCTGATACTGCAGCTCCCGCATCCCCGCAGCAGCAGTCTGCCGCGGTCCCTTCAGCTCCATCCCCTACCTCCTCCCTCCCCCCCAGGCCGCCCCAGCCCAGCGCTCCAGCTCAGACGTATCCTTCACAGCACCATCCAACCGGGAGCTCAACAGTCGCCGCTTCTGCTACCGCGTCGTCCACTGACAACATTCTGGATGTCCAGGTCAACCCTCCTCATGACTATGCGCTAGCCTCTGGATATGCCGACGAAGCTTCTGCAGGCAATGACTACCAGAAACGTTGGGAGAAGTTCTTGTCCGATGAGAGGCAGTACATGGCCGAAGCCAAGTGGGATCGCTTCCCCGAAGGCTCTCGCATATTTATAGGTAACTAGATCCACCCCCCCCCCCCTCTCTCTCTCTCTCTCTCTCTCTCGCTCCTCTCTTTACCCTATCGAAATCATGTGCACTCGAGACTCATATATTTATCATGCAGGCAACCTGTCCAGCGATAAGGTCTCTAAGCGAGACGTCTTTGGCCTGTTCCATAGGTTCGGGAGGCTGGCGCAAATATCTCTCAAGTCTGCCTACGGCTTTGTCCAGTATCATACCGCCGACGAAGGCCACCAGGCCATCGAAAATCTGCAGGGCGCTGAGATCAAGGGTCGTCGCATTCGTAAGTCCACAACACACGCACACACGCACGCACGCAAGCACGCACGCACGCACACGTCTGACATGGTAATGCATAGACCTCGAAGTATCGAAACTTCAAGACAAGCCCAAACGAGAGCGGGCTAGAAGTCCCGAGAAAGGCCGTGGCGGACGACGTAACGAAAAGCGTGACGACTACCGCAGTCGCAACCATTCGCCACCGCGCCGGAACGACTACCACGAAAGCCTCGGTAGGGGCCGCGGCAGTCGAGCACGCTCTCGGTCCCCCGTGTACAGGCGCAATAGCCGCGATTCGTACCGCAGGAGGAGCCCCAGCCCGTCCTCTTACGGCGGTGGCGGTGGCCGCTCATCACATCACGAGGCCCAATTGGACCTGCCCAAGAGGTATGGCGCCGACGTTCCCGACGTTCAGATACTCCTACAGCCGGACATCAGCCGCGAGTTTGTTGTCTGGGTAGAGGACGCCTTCAAGTCCAAACGCCTCACCACCCACAGCATGTTTCTGCACCCACACATGCCCAAGGACCGTATCATTCAGCGACAGGCTGCCGAGGGCGTTCAGGCCGTCGTCGATCTCGACATGCGAGCCCAGAGCACGGGGAGGATCCCCATGCAGGCTTTTGACCGCTCCGCCGGCGGCGCTAACGTGCGCTTCCATCAGTACGTCGACCTCGATCCGGGAATCGCCGCCGAGGTCATTCTGCAGACAAAGGCGTCGTCAGCTGGGCCCGGTCCCGTTGGTTACGGGCAGCAGCCTCTCCCTTCTTATGGCTACTCCCACGAATACGGCGGCCCTCCGCCTCCTGGTCCTCCAGCTGCCGTTCCCCTAGTTGGCAACGCCTACGGTCAACCGGCCTACTCGGCTCAGCACCAGCAGCAACAGCAGCACCAGCAGCACCAGCAGCAGCAACATCAGGAAATAGCTGCCCTTCTCGGAAAGGTCGACCCCATCACCCTGCAACAAGTCCTCGCCACTCTACAGTACCAACAGCATCAACCTCCTCCTCAACCTACCATGACCGGTATCCCTCCTCCTCACATGGGTGCTGCTACTGCTCCCCCCCAACCCGATCTCCAAGCCATACTGGGCTCCCTAGCCGCCCCCGTCACGGCGCCTATCTCTTCTCCCTCAGTATCTCGAGGTGCTCCGCTACCTCATTCTCGTCCTCCACAACACTACTCTTCCCCATACGGCGTGCAACAACCTCCCCCTCTTAATGGTGGTGACGCTGCTCAGGTTCAAAATATCATGGCCCAGCTTGCTAGGTACAGACAGTAAAGGTACAAGTCACTATCTGCATCAGCCTGAATCTGAATTTTTTTTCTTTTTTTTTCGTCTTCATTATCCTTCTAGACAATTTATTCCCCTCCCCGCCTTTTATCAGCTTAGCATGCAAGAAAGAATCTTAACACTTGCCTTTATTCCTTTCGTATATCTTAGATATCACCCCGAACTTTACAAATCCGGTTATTAGTCGTAGTTTAGCAGAATGTGATGCTGGGATTGAAGTACCAGTAGCTACTACTATAGTATTGACAGATACCGTCTACTTTTTTTCCGTCTTATTCATCACTTGGTACTACTACTACTACGTGGTAAAACTACGTAGGGAAGAAGAACCGGAAGGAATCAAGAAGAGGAAAAAAAAGGAAAAAGAAAATGTGGTTCCGCCCGGGATCGAACCGGGGACCTTCTCGGATGACAAATTCTGGAATAACCCATGGAAACTTGTTAACGAGATGCCATAACCAACTAGACCACGGAACCGCGTATTGAAACCTGATACGATTGGGGAAAGAAGTAGTCTTTGGTACCTATATCCTCTGACGTCCAGCAAGCCTGTCAATACTCCAACTAGTCCTACCTAGTGGCGTCTGTCAGACGACATGTCGAAAATCCTATTCCTCCCCCCAAAAAGAAAAAAGTCAAGTCAAGTCAAGCAGCAAGCAGTAAGTAATAAGACAACACGACTTTCAATATTATTTCTTATTCATTCAAACGTTCCCATCGTTCAGTAATCATTCAAACATGCTTAAACATCATATTTATAGATCAAAACATCTTTATGAAATCCGTTTTTTTGGAGAATGTGAATCCATTTAAAACCCCTTCACGGCAACTATTACCATCCAAACGTCTCATCATGCCACCACACTCTACGTCCTTTATTCACCCACACCTTGAGACTCGTCCTCACATTCCTTGCCATGTCGGCAGGCCCGCACACCATGACGGCCACGCTGTCGTGCATGCCCGTGCGAAACGTGTCGTCGACTATACCGCCAATATTGGGTCTCTTGTGGTTGCCACCCCCGCGCATGTCGCTCATCTCCAAGCCTTCTCCTCCTCCACGCCCACCCTCATGGACACCCATGTCACCCGTCAGGAAGAGCTGCACGTTATCGTCGGCGAGGACCGAGTCTCCCGCTGCGTCTCCGCTCACCGACGCCGTGGCCCAGGTGGCTTCGGCGGCGGAGCGGATGGCCCAGATGAGTCTGACGCGCGTCGAGGGCGCTTCGTGCAGGATGGCCCGGTATATGGGCAGTGCAAAGGTGGCACCGACGCCGCCGGCAAACAGGAGGACGCTGTCGAAGCCCCCGTTGAGTATGTTCGAGATCGATTTGCTCACTGCGCCGTAGGGTCCCAGCACATTCAACTGCACCGTCGCGTCCGAGGCCGAGAGCATGTTGAGACGGTTGGTCAGGGGACCAGCCTGATTCCTCACGACGAGGGTGATGGTATTGGTATCGCTGTTTGTCGATGCGACGGTGAATGGGTTGTAGATGAACTCGTACAGAAGAGAGGACTTCGACGTGAGGTTCTGCGACGGCCGACTCTCGGCAGGAAGGCTGAGATAGACGTGTGATCCCGGGCTGGCCTGGTACTTGGCGAGCGTTGCAGGTGGCAGATTGGCCTCGATCTTGATAAGGTCGGTTCCGGGCACCACCTCCACCGTGGCCGGAGAGGTAATGGTTGTGATCCTCCGAACGACGAGATCGATCAGAAAGACGGCGAGGGCCTCAACGAGATAGAGACGAGCTGAGTGGGCATGGAACCAGATGAGTGGCGGGATAACCAGGGCGGCGATGACGTGGACGATGAAGAATAGGCGATACGAGTAGTTCCGCAAGACGGACAGGGCCGTAGTGCAGAGAGAGGTCATGGCGAGCGAGGCGACAACGCCAGCGAAGACATCGGGAGCGAAGAATCGCGAGGTCCATTTCCCAGCCGAGATGAGGAAGATGTTGTAAAAGATGACATGCAGCTCGACCAGAGCAAAAATGATGTGCCCCAGCACACGGTGATAGCGATTGACCTGCTCATGCGATGAGCCAAAGACCCAGCAAAAAGGGTTGAGGTTCTTGAGAGACAGGAGATATTGGATGGGCATCTGAGAGACGGCAACAAGGCCAAATCTTTTGGTCAGATGAAGATAGTCTGTTTTTTTTTTAGGCATGTTTATTCTATTCAGCAGATGTATTCATTCAATTCACCCCCGACGGAGAAACTCACCTCTGCCAGTCCCAAGCACACAGAGCAGCAGCATCCAAGCTGCCCACCCTGAGCCGAGGATCCACTCATCCCTATGACCGTAATGCACACCAAACAGGTACACGGGATCGCTCATCCACCACGCCAGCCTGACCCATCGCGCTTCCAACCCCCCCAGGGACGTGGCCTGCCTAGCCTTTGCGACGGGTGATCCGGGTACGAACTGATAGCTGGCCGGGCCCCTGACGCGCGTGTACAGCGTCAGGCCCAGCCGGAAGAGCAGGTAGGCGAGGGCCGGCGCAAAGGCAGAGGAGTGCGCCACGAGGGCGTAAAAGGCTATGGATTCTCGACGGAGCTGCTTATCCTCAGGGGAGAGGTCGAGAATAAATTCATACGGCCAAGACATGGTGAGGAAGGGGGGGGTGGGGGCGGGTAAGAAAGAAGGGGATAGAAAGAAAGAAAGGAGAAGGAATTGGAAAGGGAGAGAGTAAAGGCCTCTTCTCTTCCCTTGTCGCTCCTTCCCGATTATGACCTTTTCCGTGAGTTTTGGATGAAGCTTATCTGACGGAAGGTGCGATGCCCGTGGCTACTTAATCTGATCCGTCTGTAATGTTAAAAGCACGTGGCCTCATTGGCCGCGTGGCCTAGGCTTTGGTTCCATAATATGAGTAAGGCACTCGGTAACGTCGTCCCCCATTCACTCAAAATCTCACCTTCTTACCTGTTCCTTCTTTCCTTCTTTCTCTTTTGGTTTATCTACTGAGTGACGAGTCTCATTGTATTCACGCATATTGGATTGATATCAGTCAATTCGAGTACTGGCGCATGGTACTCACAAGACTACCGCCCATTAGGTCCACTCCCCACCCCTCATATCATATCCTCTCCCTCTTGATCCCCAGACTCCCTGAAAGAAGGATTGAAAATAAGGCCATAGTGCATAAAAGAGACGCAACCTTCCTGTTTGAAAGTGCCGAAAAGTAACCCCCTGACTGAATGGTGTAGAAAGAATAAAGTAACCTCCCTGGTGAAAGAAGAAGAAGAAAAACTACAGGCGCCTCATCCACCATGCTGAGCCAAGATAAATATAAAAAAAAAGAATCATTTCTCTTTGCAAGTCCTCGACATTTTGTGCGCTTCCCCCTCATAACAATGCCAGTCCAAAAGAAGGAGAAAGAGAAGAAAGAAACGAGGTAGTATAATAAGAGGGAGGGAAAAAATAATAGGGTATGTGGGAAAGAAAAGAGGTATGACAAGAAAACCCCCCATCAATGTACAGAAAGAAAAACAAGGGGGAAAAAAAGAGTAAACGCGTCAACACCTATCCTTCTTTTCCTTCTTCAGACGACGACGACCACGGCCAGACTTCGACTTCATCTTGTGCGCCAGTAATGATTGGCCCCGCCCGTCCTACTGAGCGATGCTCTCCGGGCTCATCATGCCTGTCCCTTCGTCCTTGTCCGTCTGGCTCGTTCCTCCGCCGCTCTGCATGCTATCCGTACGTTCCATGGATGTGCCCAGCGCCGCGACGGCCGGGTTGGGCAGGCTTGCGCCGTTGGGCACGCTCATCGACTTCTTCTTCACCGGCGTGCCGTTGGGACCGTTTGCCCTGCCCTCTGGAGCCGCGGCGGCAGCTGCAGCCGCTTGCGCCTCGAGTCTCTTCTTCTTCTTGGCAAGGGCGAGTTGCTCACGTGGAGGACGCTTCTGGGCGGAGACGATCTTGCCCGTGGCACCGAGACGTGGACGCGGCTTCCTCTGTTTAACGGGGAGTTCTTCGTCCTCGACCAGGGGCTCGTCATTGTTGGCGTGGAGCTTAGCCAGGAAGAAGTTCTTGACCAGGCCGATCTGGTCGTCGATGTTGTCCTTGCTGACCGGCGGCAGCGGCGGCAGGCTCTCAAACATGTCGGCCGTCGCGTCGTCGGCGGACTGTGTCTGCATCTGGTACTGGTTGCGCACGCGCGTCTGGAGGAGGTGGAACGGCACGCCCAGCGCGCCGCCGAGCTCGCCATCCAGTCCCAGGGCGCGGAACCCGAAGAAGTCCTCGCCCAGGTCGTCGGCAAAGTCTCCGCTGACAAACGTCTCGCTGCCGTCCTTGAAAGCGCCCACGCCGTCTGGGCCCTGGTCGCCCGCCACCACCGGCCGCAGCAGATCTGTCAGGTGCATCTTCATGCGCTCGTGCAGCGCCCCCAGCTTGCTGCTGTGCCGGTCCATCTCCTCGTTAATGTACGAGTCCAGCGCCACCACGTCGTGACCGTTCTCGTCCAGCGTGTGCAGGAGCACCTCCTCGGGCGTGAACCGCGGTTGCGACCGCACCCCCTCGACGTTTTCTACCCCCCGCTTCTCCGCCTCGCTGTACACGTTGAACGTCCTGATCAGCTTCTGGAAGTAGTCGGCCGTGATGTCGGTGAAGACGTCCACCGCCGACGGCTGCGTCTCCTCAAAGCCCGCGTGGTACAGTAGCTTCGTTATGGACCGCCTTAGGGCGTCGTGGCACGTCTCCGGGGCCATAACAGGGCCATTGTCAGAGATGAAGTGAGGCTCAATATCTTGTTCCGTGAATGACTCTATATTGGCCTTGGGAAACTGATTTGTGTAGACCTGTGCAGTGTTAGTACCGTTCACCGTGGTGTGTATCCCATCCCAATAAAATTCAAGGTAGAACGAAGAAGTTATCCCACTCCCGGTATCTTCAAAGGGCAAATGAGAAGAAGGAAAGATTAAGACCAAAAAGAAGAAGAAGAAGAAATTACCTGTGTCTGAACCTGCATCTGCTTTATCACCGAAATCTTGCTAACGAGCTTCCTCGTGTTCTGAATCTGGTGAACATTGTCATCGATCTTCTTGGTCAACTTGCTCTGCGGCGCGATAAACGACCCGGCAGGGACCAGACGGAGAAAATCCTCGTGCTGGTTGATGACCTGGCCCTGATCGTCCTCCACCCACTGAAACTTGGGCTGGATGTCAGGAATGTTGCTCAGAGCGTCGTAGTAGTCTGGTATGACCCTATCGACGACGGCCTCGTCATCTATTCCCTCCGCCAACGTCTCAGATGGCTTCTGCTGGGCCTGTCCCTGTCCCTGGCCCTGGCCCTGTCCCTGGCCGTGTGTTGACCCACTACCATCAGCACCATCCAGGTTGTTCGTCGCCCGAGCTGATGATGATGGAAATGATGCTTCGGGGCCATCACCAGAGGCTTCCATCTCGGCCTCCTTCTGGTGCTTGATGAAGCGTCGCATAGCGGCCTTTGTCCTGAGGGCGGCGGGCGCGTCTATGTTGATCTTGTTGTCCTTGAAGAGAAAGTGACGCTCCTTGGCCGTGAGCGCCCTGTCCTTCTTAGTCGTCTGCTTCCAGATCTTGTACTCCTCATCCTCGAAGGGATGCTCAGCCGCCTCATCAAAGGCCTGGTTGAGAGCCATACTGTTGAGCGTAGGGCCGTCGACATCCATGGCGTCGGCGTTTGTCGCGGCGCCTCCGGGGGCTGGGGTGTTGAAGCCGCCGACGGGAGGGGTGGAGAAGCCGTTGCTTCCTTCGACTGCCTCCGAGTCCTCGCGGCCGTGCTTGCCCAGGAGCCCGTTGACCTGCAACACTGGCTTCTGGTCCACGACGGGCGTGTCCTCCTTTTGATGGTGGTCGTCGCCGTTGCCGCCGCCCGTCGTCTTGCGTGACTTGCTGGAAGCAGCGCCTCCTCCCTTGGTGGCCGTTACGCGTCCTCGCGACGACATGATGGGCGCATCGTCATCTGAATCTTCGCCCGCGTCGTCGTCGCCGCCGTTCTGTTTTCGTCGCTCCTCAGCCTCAACCTCGGCACGCGACCGAATGACCAGGTCCGGAATGAGGGGAATAAGCTTCTCGGCTTCTCTTCTCATGCCGTTGGCCATGCGGCGCAGGGGGTGGTTCATGTCCTGATTGTATCGAAGACAGTTGTCCCAGATGAGGTTGAGGTCGGCAACGAATTCGACCTTGGATTTGTAGGTTAACGATTTCAGCTTTTTGGTCATGGAGCCGAGATCCATTGGTGTTTTAACGACTGAGAGGGGGAGGGGATGTAACGTTAGCGTTTGTTCACCGGCTTGTTGCCCTGCATGAGAGACGAACCATTGTGATAGTCTGGGGCCTCCCTCTTGCTGACCCTAGTGAGAAATGGTGTCGAGCACTCCGTATGGGCCTTGAGCTCGGTGAGCACCTTTTCCAAAGCCTCGTAAAGCTCCTCCTGGTTGACATTCTCTTCGCTGGCCCACTTGCTACGATTCTTCCTAACCTCGTTCATCAGGGTTCTGAGCTCAGCATCCGAGGCCTCGACCTGGTCGCGTTTCATGTCTATGCGGGCAATGAGGTGCTTGAGAGTGAGGCTGGATGCTCCGAGGTTAGTGCTGCTCAGGGAGCCCTGGGCAGCGGCGTTGCCCGCCTGGTTCTGGTCGGGGGCGCCGCCGCCGGGGGCCGTGACAGCGTTGTTGTCCATCTCCGCCTGAAGCTGCTTCTCCGAGTCTTCGAGACGCTGCTGCTCTAGCATGGCGGCGCGATCATTCTCAAGTGTGTAGAATATGGTGTGGAAGCTGCGGCGCGCGGCATCCTCTGTCGCGATGCGCGCCTCCTCTAGAGACTTGATACCGTCGTCGCCAGCGCCGCCAGTCTTGGCCTGCTGCTGCTGCTGCTGCTGCTGCTGCTGACTCGAGGAAGATGATGCAGTGCCGGCATCCTGCTGAGACAGAGACTTGTCCGCCAGCTTGGGCGAGTTGACAGATTGGACGGGGGAGGAGCCGGACTTGGAGGGGGATAGGAGAGCGCCCGAAGCATTTGTAGGCTTGGAGGTGGGGACGGAGGCGGTAACGGGCGCGTCCTCCTCGTCGTCATCATCGTCGTCATAGTCGTCTTCATCAATGGCCCTCTTGGCCTTCTTCATAGGAGGCTCCTTGACGGGCTCGTGATCGGTAGTCGGGGGTAGAACGGACGGGGATGCAGCGTTGTTGGTGGCGGTTGTAAGCAGGGAGGCGGCGGCGGCACCATCTGGACGGCGCAGCGCGTCGATGAGGGGTCGGTTGTAGGACCCATCATCCTGGAACAGCAGCGCGACCCTGTCCTCCGTGTTGCGATAGAGATCCGCGAAGAGGGCGCGCCGAGCATCATCTTCGGCGTCGATGGATGCCTCAGGCATCAACGTGTTGGCGGCGGATGCGGCAGCGAGAGCATCAGCAGAACCGGTGGAAGTGGTGATACTGGTAGCGCTGTTTATATGATGCAATGGATTAGGGGGCGGCCAAGCGGCCTGGCCATTGGGGAGAGGCATATCGGGCCCCTGGTAATGGAAGCGGCGGAGATGAGGCCGGTCGCCATGCGCAAAGGAATATAATACGGGACAGCCGCGTAGTTTGGAACGATTCGCGCCCGCGTCTAGTAGGTGACTAGGGGGAGGAGGGGGGATCAAAGGGACATGAGAGAAAAGAGCGGCATCGATATCGATGGGAGACGAAGATTTGGGATAAAATCAATGGCTTGTGGTTGGACCTTGATGGTGCGCGTTAGGACCTTTTCGCCGTGTCTTCATGGGGTGAAGTCGATGGTTCGGGGCCAGGCGCAGTACAGAAGCCCGTTTTTCCCAAAGCGGGAGAGGGGAGGGAGAGAGGGAGAGAGGGAGACCTACTACTGCCTGTAGAGACCAAGAGAGGGACCTAGAGAAGGAGCGAGAGACGCACGTTACAGGGAAGGAGGCACTGAGAGGGCGTCTACTCTATCTAGTAATACAGGCGGGAACGGAGTACCAGGGACATGTGAATCAAAGGCGTCTGGGGTAGGGATAGAGGTTGTGAGGGTATCTGCGGTGTTAAAAACGGTGAAGATCAATCACTATATCGTACATTCATCTACAATCCCTTTTCCGAGGTGCTCATCTTGTCTGTTTCCCTTTTTGTTGGTCCTGATCTAATCATGCGCCTTGTAGCGGGGACCTTCTCCGCGCCCCGATGATGCAGCCCATGGAAGAGGCGCTGAGCGACTATTTTCTCCCCAAGGTCACGTTTCCTGTTCACGTGACTCGACCCCCACTATCCCCAGACTGTACACGCTCGAGAGGACAGCACTACGAGTAATTACATAGAATACTGTATGCAGTGATTTGTAGTATCGAGCACATATGTGCATGTATATATTAATACTAATACCAAGTGCGTTACCGTCCATTTTCAGTATGGCTAGACGTATATTCCTATAGACAGGCAGACTGTGGGAATAGAGGGGGATGCGACATCACTACTATGTACAAGTACTAAAGCACCAGACGGACTCATCTCTAATCCCCTGTCAAGGCGCTCACTGTATTCTGACCTCACTGCTGTACATGTAACCTGTACACCACACGACCCACCGACGATCCCTGCCACCTTGACCAGCTAGTAACTTACCAACCCGGCAATCGGGAGCTCTGTCTTTATCCTCTACTCTACTTCCACGTCATGAGTGCCGGCGCTTGTTGATTCTACTCATCTCCGACGAAGGACACATTCTGCATCCGATCCTCCTCCTTCTATACATCCCTCGGTCCGACTCACCTGCTGACCAACCGACTGCCGGTTTTCCCCCCTCCTCCGACCAGGCAGCGACACAGCCTTACGAGTTCAACGTCCAGCCTCCTCTCCGTTGTTCCCCAACCCACCGCTCCCCTCTCCCCGTTGGCAAAACAAGTCTGCCTACATGTTTGTATAGCGGCGGAGGTCCAGACCAACTGATCCGTCCGTACGCTTCTCTCTCAATAACAATGCGTATCCGTCTATCCTTTGCAGGTAAGCTTTACTACCTTCTGTGTGTACGTATGACCAGTATGTCTAACGACCTCCATCAGGAGCATTCGTGCTCCTGCTCCTAATAGCAGCCTACATGGGCCTGACGAGCCTCCAGCTAGGCCAATACGTCAACGACAAATTCCTTCACTGCACCACCTTCTTCATCCTGACCGTCGTCTTCTACTGGGTGGTGGACACGAGCCGACGACGAACCGTGCACATGACGCTGGTGGTGTGCACCCTGACCCTCGGCATCGGTTCCGAGTTCGTCCAGAGTTTCCTCCCCAACGATCGCGACTTCGACATGTACGACATCGTCGCCAATCTCGTCGGCAGCTTAGCCGCCCTGGCCCTTTGCTCGTGGTACCACAAGCGCATGCTCGAGCGCAAGAGGCTGCGCAGAAATACCTACAACGCCGTCCCCGGCGACGACGAGCTCGACGACGTGGACGGCCAAGACCACGTCGACGCCGACCTGGAGCTGGGAGAGGGTCACGAGACGGGGATCCTGCAGGCCCTTCCCCCACGCAGTCTCGAGCAGGAGGTCGACAACTGGGATGAGCATGCTCCCGACGACGACGACGACGACGATGAAGACGACGAGTGGGAGGAAAGTGATGGCATCAGTGCCCCACAGAGAAAGACAAAGGCCAAGAAGGGCACCAGGGATGACGAAGTGGGCGATGCCAAGAAGCGCACTGACTGAGTGCTAAGGAACGGAGGCGTAACCGTATCATGTTCCCCCATGTTGTAAAGTTTGCTACAAGACAGAACTCTTCTTGGATAGCTACAGGTCCCTGGAGAGGAAAAGAGAAAGAAGAAAAACATGTAATGTGTTAATGAGGCTACTTCTGTCATTCGAGCGTGTCTTTTATTTTAATTATCGCCATTTGTCGGCAAACTCTCTTATAATTCACCACTCTCATCTCTCCCTGTCACTCTTCTCAACTGCACGTAATGATAAATAATCCCCCAGAATAGCACTTTGGTCGAGGAGGGAAGACAAGAAAAACAATTTTTTCTTTGTCAGTATCAGCAAGGAAACATGTAAACTAGATGATCCAAGTTCCTCCAACGCAAACAACTGTTCTTCGAACCAACGACGACGCAAAAGTATCCGTTATTGAGTAGAGAGCAGGAAAAGAAAAGCATCTGCATCATCAAAGCATAATGTCCCACTCCACCTCGTCAGAGTCAATGTCATCATAATCCTTGCCGCATGACCATGTGCTCTCGTTATCATCGTCCGAGCCCTCATTCTTGGTAAGGATATCATTGTCGGAGTTGTTATGCTGCTCCTGCAGCATCTGCCTCTGTCCCTCGTCTATACCAGAGTCAGAATCCTCATCTGCCTCAGTCCTGGGCGGAAGGACCGCTCCCGTGTCGGTGCTGGCGGACGCGCCGCCGGTAAGAGACAGGGTGTCGCGCGTCTTCCGAGGCGCGATCTTGGGTTCTTCATCACGTCGAGCCCTGGTCGCCAGTCTGTTCGTAGCGGTCCGGAAAGTTTTCCCCTCTTCACAGTCGTGATGGCCATCAACCGAGAAGGGAGGAGACTGATTTGCGCAGTAGTGAGTCGGCTTTCCAGCTGTCGTCGTCGTTGTCGTCGTCGTCGGGCTGATATTTTTGCATTCTTCCTTCTTTTCAACGGTGGCGGTAGCGGCGGCGGTGATGGTGGCGGTAGTCCCCGGTCCCTGCTCCTGGCCAAATGGGCCCTCAGCAGACTTATTGTACAGGTCGTCCATGGACATGACCTTCCGGCAGTCTTGATCTTGAGCTCCAACTAAGGTCTTCTGCTGCTGCTGCTTATGTCTCTCCAGTCGCTGCATATGCTCCTGACACCGTTGCTTGTACTGCAGTCGGCGCTCTGTCATAAGACCAAGCTCCTCCCGGTCCTCCTTCTCACGCTTCCGCTCATTAATTCGCGCTTTATGCTGCTCATAAAGCTCCAACTGAATCTGCCACCGAAGTTTCGCCCGAATATGAGCATCATGCTCCATCTGAAGCTTTCCCATCTCCTCTCGGTATTCTAGGGTCTCTACTTGCCACTGTTTCCGGTTCAGAAGCTCTCTCTCCTGTTGAGCGTCTTTTTGTTTCTGTTCCTTTTGCTGCTGTTCCTTCTTGTGCTTCTCCCTCTTCTCGATCGCTTCCTTCTGCCTCTGCATCTCTTTAGCAGCTTCCGAGGCCGAGATCTGGTGTATCGGTAGTGCCGCGACGTTCGGCGAGCAGCCCTTTTCTCTGATGTCGACAAGGTGATCAAGGGACAGAATGTCCGGTTGCTTGTTCTGCAGCTGCGGATGCGGCTGAGTCTGTTTCTGCGACAGCCCCGGGGGAGCACCCTTGAAGGCATTGTCGAAGGTTGACCTGGTGACCGGTTTAGGGGTCAATTTGGAAATATCGACAATGGTGGCAGTCCTGATCGCGGTAGGTGAGTGAGTGGGTTTCGCTCCCGTGACTTTTGGAAAAGGCTCGATGTCAGTCAAGATTTAGTACTCGAGTATCTAACAATGAGAGGCCGTGAGAATCGAGAAGACAAAAAGGGGGCAGTAAACATACCACTGTCAGTCGCTGCTGTCTTAGCCGTGGTAACAGACGGGCAGGTTGCCCGGGACTCTTTGCTCAAGGGCTCCATGCGCGTCTCATTGAGAGCGGCCTGTTCCTGCTCCCGCTGCTTGCTGTACTGTACCTGGTCTATCTGGTAGTCCCCAGTAGGTTTCTCAAACGACTCGTACTTGGCCTGGCACACAGGGTCACTACCAGCAGTAGGTACCTTTGTGTAGACGAGGCTAGGCATAGCGGGTGGGAGTCCACGAGGAGAAAGAGCAGGAGTAGGGGGAGGAGGACGGGCCACGATGTCGGGGGGGAGAGTAGCGTAGCTGGGCATGACGACGTCCTCACGTGGCTTCTTGAAAAGTACGGGAGGCTGTGGACAAAACTCGGACGGGGCGGCCCGCTTGGACATCTTGTTGTTGACGGAGACATAGTAGGGCTCCTTGAGTCGCCTTTGAAGCCAGTTCTCGTAGAGGGAGCGGTTTTTGAGGACGCTGCTGCAGAGGTCGACGGGCTCGAGGACCTTGGGATGGGCGGCCAGACGGAAGAACTGGTCTCGCATGTTGGACATGAACATCCTGTTGGTGTAGTCGGCCAAGTGGCCGGTGCAGTCGTGGGCGGTGGCTCCAGAAAGCTCGACAGTCATGTCCGGGTCGTGCTGCTCGACGATGTCGGCCAGGACGCGGAGACATTCGGCGAAGGGCACGACCTCGGACGATAGAGTGACGGACATTGTGGGCTCTTCGTGGTCGTTGTCGTAGCTGAGACTCACGGTGTTCGTCTCGTTTGCTTTCTTGACACGATTGGCACTCTGTGTGTTGGTTGGCGCTGAGAAAGAGGTTCGAGAAAGAGAAAGAAGGAAAAGAAGGCCCTCTGAAGACGTACTTCGAAACTTGAAGGGTGTAGAGGGAAGACGACAGCTTGTTTATAGACTCAGTGCTCAGGGCCATACAGGGTGTCGATCACCTGCCTACTGCAGTACTGGGTGACTGGAGTATGACAAGCCATTCGGTGCAAATCTTGAACATCATCCTTTTTGGCTGAAGGATAAATGACAAACATGTGACGCTTTTCACACATTCACGACTCACCAAAGGTTGTATTGGTACAGACACCGCAATCACAGGCACTGGCCGGGGACTACGGTGGTGAACGACAGAGGAAGTTGGTGACGTGAATCCGATAAAGGTGTACGGGCATATACATGGTGCAGAGTTGGGTACAGATGTCCTCAAAGGGGACCAAAGTCACATAGTACGCCGCTCTTGCCATCATATGCCGCCGTACGGAGTTTATTCACATGCCGTTCTGAATATATATCTTGTGTTGCCACTGTCGGTGCCTGAGAAGGTCCTCGAAGATAGTGTTACATTCATTCAAGCTGGCGATGGGTTGGACTTGCTTCGTGAATACAGGATTAGGGTAGATGAAAAGGAGAAAAAGAGTGATGCGAGCAAGGGCAGGTTGTATTAGCAAGTGTGCTGACAGGTGCTCTTATGATGCGAGATGTACCCGCACTCGAATAAATACGAGGAAGATGAGCGTGACATCTGATGGAGTTAAGCATAATGGTGATCAGAGTCAAGATGCTAACTAGCTAGATACTATAGAGGAGATTTTGGAGAGAGCTGAGGTACGAGAAGACGAGAAGTCTTCCGGGAAAGGTCCCCGATGACTAATATGATGACATAACTACCAATAAGCCGTGTGTTAATGACCGTTAAGTTTGTGCCATCAGGCAAGTGAATTGCTGGTGCAAACTGTCACCGAATTGGCGGTATAGCTAGCAGTGATGAAATAACCCTCCGTATATACGGTATAGAGTGATACGCGAGATATGACTACCATTGCCGTGATCGTACGACATTATGTCTCTCATCCCATTGCGTCTCGTAAGACGAGGCCAAGAGGAAAATAAAATATGACCCGAAAATATTTTTTTTCTCTAAAATCACCGAAGGAGGGGGGGGAGGGGCTAGGACCCCTCCTTGACCTAAAATGGAAGACACTAATAGATTTGTATGGGGGTTCACTGGTAAAACTGTTAGTCCGCTCCGGGTCTAGTGCCCCGCACCCTGCCAACAGGGTCGAACCAGCCTTGGACCCCGCGCCGCCCGATTACGCTCCAATCTGGTAGTCAGGCCTTACCACGCTTTTTTGGGGTAGAAATTTTTTCTCTACTGCTACTACTACTACTACTACTACTACTCTCCTCTATCCTCTTTTCCTACTCCTCCTCTTCTTCTTTCCCCCCTCATTCACCCATCTATCCAAACCGATTTCTTATCGGGTTCTCTCTGTTCTTCATTCTTTAATTCCACTTCAGACAGTCCCACCCCTCTGTCACAATGGCCCCCCCCAACGCTGAGTATGCCTTGTCGGCTTCCCACAAGGATGTTGGTCCCGTCTTTGCCCCGAATCCTCTTTCTTTCGAGGAATTCATCTTTCTATGAGCTTAGGTGAATACTGTCTGACTTCGATTTAGATGCTGGAGAAGTCTCTTCTTGACTCCGACCCCGAAGTCGCCGCCATCATGGTACGTTTCAATCGATCTCTCCATCGGCCCCCCTCCCCCAAAACGTCATCCCTCTAACCCCCTATGCAGAAGGACGAGATTCAACGCCAGCGTGAGTCGATTGTTCTCATCGCCTCGGAGAACATCACCTCTCGCGCCGTCTTCGACGCACTGGGTTCCCCCATGTCCAACAAGTACTCGGAGGGTTACCCCGGTGCTCGCTACTACGGTGGCAACCAGCACATCGACCAAGTCGAGCTCCTCTGCCAGCGTCGTGCCCTCGAGACCTTCCACGTCGACGCCGACAAGTGGGGTGTCAACGTTCAGTGCCTGTCGGGTAGCCCCGCAAACCTCCAGGTCTACCAGGCTATCATGCCTCCCCACGGCCGCCTGATGGGTCTCGACCTCCCCCACGGCGGTCACCTCAGCCACGGCTACCAGACCCCGGCCAGGAAGATCTCGGCCGTTTCCACCTACTTCGAGACCATGCCCTACCGCGTCGACCTCGAGACTGGCATCATCGACTACGACCAGCTCGAGAAGAACATTGTCCTATACCGCCCCAAGGTCCTGGTTGCCGGCACCTCTGCCTACTGCCGCACCATTGACTACGCTCGCATGCGCAAGATTGCCGATCTGGTCGGTGCCTACCTCATGGTCGACATGGCCCACATCTCGGGTCTCATCGCCGCCGAGGTCATCCCTTCGCCCTTCCCCCACGCCGACATCGTCACCACCACGACCCACAAGTCGCTCCGTGGCCCCCGCGGCGCCATGATCTTCTTCCGCAAGGGCGTCCGCTCCGTCGACGCCAAGACGGGCAAGGAGACGCTGTACGACCTCGAGAACCCCATCAACTTCTCCGTCTTCCCCGGCCACCAGGGCGGACCCCACAACCACACCATCACTGCCCTGGCCGTCGCCCTCAAGCAGGCCCAGACGGCCGACTTCAAGGCCTACCAGGAGAAGGTCGTCTCCAACGCCAAGACACTGGAGAAGAAGTTCAAGGAGCTCGGTCACAAGCTCGTCTCGGACGGCACCGACAGCCATATGGTCCTCCTCGACCTCCGCCAGCACAACCTGGATGGTGCCCGCGTCGAGGCCGTCCTCGAGGCCATCAACATTGCCTGCAACAAGAATTCCATCCCCGGAGACAAGTCGGCCCTCACCCCCTGCGGCATCCGCATCGGCACCCCCGCCATGACGTCGCGCGGCTTCGGCGAGAAGGACTTTGAGCGCGTCGCCCAGTACATTGACGAGTCTGTCAAGATCTGCAAGGATGTTCAGGCCTCGCTCCCCAAGGAGGCTAACCGCCTCAAGGACTTCAAGATCAAGGTTGCTTCTGGTGAGGTTGACCGCATCAACGAGCTCAAGAAAGAGATCTCGGCCTACACCAGCGCCTTCCCCCTCCCCGTTGAGGGATGGCGTCTGGATGCCGGCATTTAAGTGTTTTGCTTCGTTCTTTTTCTGAGAAGAAATAGAGCGGATGTCGGCAATACTAGATTATTAGTCTGGTGGTGTCAATCTTCCCTTTTCTTATCTGTCACTTCAACACTAGATCCACCCATTTTCATCAAAAGGAGGATCGACCCGTCTCTGTCATGGCTTCTTTCTTCCCCCTTACTTTAGTCGTATCCAGAGGTGTGATGCGCAAAGGAGAAGGACGGAACAAATTCGAAGCAGATTCAATGTTCAACAACAGCATGCATTTTCAACAGGCGTACTTTTTTTTTTTACTGTCATGTTTTTTTTTCTGGGTGGAATGATGGGAGTTTATAGGATAAAACAAAGAAATGAAGGGATATATTGCAGATGTGATGCCATAAGAAACATGCAAAATTACCCACGTGACGTTGCATTCATCTATCGCACTTTTCAACACTCGTTCCTACGTAAATTCGACGAAACGTGATAGATACGGTGAAATGATGCTGTTGATGTTTGCTCGTCCCTGCTGCTGTGGTGTTGGCGCTGGGAGAACAAATCCACCTGGCCACCAGTCAAGCCCCACCACTGAGGGGAGAAAATCCCAAGCTCTTGCCGCCCCTCCAAGCTTCGCACTTTCGTCATTTTGACCACCGAAAACCACCACCACTACAGACTTCCCTGGAATATGGCCACCAAGGGCAAAGAGACGGTATCGGGGTAATTCTTTCTCTCTCTCCATATTCTCTCTGCTATGGAAATGACATTCAAAAGAATAGTCGACTGACAAGTATCCAGCCCCAAGGATGCGACCCCCACCAACCCTCGTGGTATCCCCTACGCCCCGTTCGTCGACAAGGTGGAAGACTATGTCGCTTCTAGGGAGGATGTCGAGCCCACTCTGAGGAGTTTCCAAGAAATGATTTCGTGAGATTTTCTCCTGCTCTGCCCTGTCTTGGACCAACAGACCGACAGACCGACGAGAGAGCAAAAACAGCGCTGACACCTTGTCCCCCCTCCCCCCCCCCCCTCCCTCAAGGAAATACCAATTCATGGAGGCCAACCTTGGACGACGGTTGACGGGCCTTAACGACAAGATTCCCGATATTCGAAAGACGTTGGAGACGGTCCAGTTCCTCAGGGCTAGAAAGGTACATCCCGGGTAGCATGTTTTGGTAAAAATCGGTGGACTGACCATCTGAACACCCAGGACGAACCTGATCCTATCGAGACAACATTTGAGCTCAACGATACACTCTATTCGAGAGCAGAGATTCCCCCGACCGACGAGGTTCACATCTGGCTTGGCGTATGTTCTCCTCTCTCCCTCTCTCACGCATAGGCTTGGATCAACAAAAGAATAATGAGAAAGAAGGAAGCGAACTGACAATATTCAGGCCAACGTTATGCTGTCGTACCCTATCGGAGAGGCTGAAGAACTCCTCCAATCTAAACTCGATACGGCCAAGGAGAGCCTCGAGAACTGCGAGGAGGATCTAGACTTTTTGCGCGAGCAGATTACTGTATGTTGCAACGCCTCTCGCTTCCTCCCCCCCTTCTTCCCCTTCTTCCCCCTCTCTGAACCCGACATTCTGACAATAATCTAGACCATGGAAGTGGCCATTGCTCGTGTCTACAACTGGGAGGTTGTCCAGAAGCGCAAAGACAAGGCTGACGAGCCAGAGGAGGACAAGTCAAAAACTAAGGAGAGCGAGGGATCTCCTAATGACTGAAGCATGACACTGCCATGTACTTATTGGGGTAAAATGAAAAAAGCTATACATCTACCCAAAGACAAAAAAAAAGGGAGCGAGATGGGAAGAACAAGAAAAAAATAGGAATCGATCCCATCATTGAATTGTTCTGCGTACGAGTACTCTATACAGTACTCCTAGGATATGCATCTAATGATACCCACCCGGTTAACTGCATAGTGCTTCTCCTTCCCAATCACGACCCTCGTCTTCGATTTGGTCAGCACCTCGTACAAGTCAATTGCATGGGTCTCATCCTCCTCATACGCACACTCAATACCTTGGAAAAAATCATCTCCAAATAACGACCAGAGCCTGCTGCACCGGCTGGAGCCATGTGGAGGCATGCTTCAATCGGCGACATGGAAGCTTGGGCGACGGCGGCGCATGCTGCTTCCCCTCGCGACGCCTGTATACTACCTGTTGGTCAGTTCTAAGCCTCCGCTTTCCCCATCCCCATCTCCAGGATCCCGTCCCCGTGGGGAAATTAACACGCAAACTCGTCCCGATTTTACAGACGTCGAGTCGCCACTATTACACAGTCAAATCAACACCTTACAGACGATGTGAATCATCCTCACCGAGAGTTTTCGATGCGGAAGAGGTGGAATGGCACCAACGAGATGCTGCTGCTGCTGCTGCTGCCGCCGCCGCCGCCGCCACTGCTGCTAGTACTACTACTAGACGATGCAACACAGACGACAACACCTCGTCTAAAACTCCAGACCCTCAATCGCAACCGTTACACCGTGTTTCAGACCAGATTGACCGAGCTTTCTTTGCTCAGACTGTCGCCGAGCGACGCACGCACCGCGATTCCGACGCCGTCTGGGACGTTGTCACGACGGCACCGGTCGACGACGACGGCGACGCGGTCGAGGAGCGGCCGAGGGGATATACAGTGCACCACCGAAACTCGTGGCAACCGGGGGAGGGCTCACCCACGGGTGAACAGGTCGAGAACTCGGCCGTCGTGCCCAGTGCGCCGTCAAAGCTTCGGAAATATGCTCGCAAGACGGGACTCACCAAGTCGTGGGTGTCATGGGGTCCCAACCTGATCCTCGCCAAGTGCACGTCCGACACACCCTCGCGGGGCCTCTGGAGGGAGCGTGTCGCCGAGATGAGGAGCATGCGCCTCGCCGTCGTCGTCATGCAGGCCTTGATCCGCCGGGACGCTATCCGATCCAGCCACGACAGGCACCTCCTCGAGAAGCTACCGCGACAACGGCAGCGCAGGGACATTATCGCCATGCTGGCCAGTAACGGATACGCCCGGCGCGACATCCGAAACATGATGCACGTCCTCGACGGTCGCACCGACCAGGACAAATGCGAGCGCTTCCTCAGCGTCGAGGGCCACAAGCCCATCTGGCTGCTCCACTTTGTCACCCGGCCGTCGGCGAAACTCATAGATGCCGGCACCTTGCACAGGATCATCGCCTACTGCAAGGAGGTGTACGACGGCCGGCGGGAGTGGGAAAAGGGGCCCGTTGAGAAGGGTGCCCTGTTCAAGCCCGGGGCGCGCACCAAGCTGGCCATGCTCAACATGTCCCCTCAGACTTTCGGCAACACGCTGCAGATGCTGGCCTCGCAGTGCATGGTGGTTGACGGACGACTCCTCCCCGGAATCGCCGACACGGCCGCCCAGTACATCCGCAACATGGCGGAGTGGAACATGGACTCGAGCAAGATCTACCACCTGCAGTGTCAGCTGTTCAACACGACCCTGGCCGCCATGGCCCCATCCAACAGGAGACTTCCGCCACGGTGGTACCGCTCCATGTCGTTCTACTGGGAGGCACAGAAGAGCCTGCTGTCCATGTCGGCAAGCTTCGACAGACCTCTTGTCGTCGACAGGGAGGGATTCCAGGCCGTGAGACAGGTTCTGGCGGGTCAGGAGAAGAATGCGACCGAGGTACACAACTCATATCGACACGCGCAGACCTGGCCACCGTACCTGGCACCAGGCGACGGAATGGATGAGATGACGCAGCCAGAGGACAACTGGAGCCGTTCCGTGTCTGCGGGCACGCTCCAACAGGAGGCAGGGTACCCGCTCGACGAGTCGGATGCGGCCCTCGACATCCTCGGCGGGAGAGCACCCGACGGCACGCCGACGATCCAGCAGCGCGTGGTGCTTGGCGGGAGTAGCAGAAAGATGGGCACGTGGGAGGCGTCGATCCGGGCGACACGCAACGCCGAAGAAGCGTGGATCAAGTTCAACAAGCCTCCCCGGCGCGGCGCCGCCCCGGGCGTGCGCGAGTACGCAGCCATGTTTGCCAAGCTGTGTGCCCGCAACGCCGACCCGCAGTCGGCTCTGCGACCCGGAGACCGCGCCCTCAACTTCCCGGTGCAGCCTGATCCCAACCTGTCCGAGTTTGCCAGGACGCGCATGCAGCCGCCTAGCGTGGACGAGCTATATACGAGGATGCGCAGCGCCGGCATCCGACCGGACGGGGCGTGTCTCGAGGTTCTCGTAGCAAACGCGGCCAGCCTGGACAGGGCACACGCATATCTACGCGACAGCCGGGTCAAGGCAGGACCGCTGCTCAGCTACCGCTCCAGCGGACCCAACGCCAAGGCACTCCGGCAGATCCCCACGCCCATCGTGGCGGCGTACGTGAGGCTCATCTGCACGGTAGAGAGCAGGCCGGGCCGCGAGCTATTCAGGGCGCTCAGGATATGCGACAGGCGGTTCGAGGATGACGACGGGAGTCGGCTGTGGGCGCCGTTCGTCTGGGGCGTCGTGCTCAAGGCCATGAGCGCCAAGACGGCCGGGCTGGGACGGCTGGGGCGGACCCTGGCGGAGCAGGTGCGCGCCTACCAGCTCGTCGTGGACAAGATTGAGGATTCAGCGCCGCTGCGGTTGTCTACCGTGGTGCAGCTGGCCAAGTGCCTGCGCAAGGCGGCTGCTCGGGCGGTTGGTGAACGCATGACGGACCTAGAGGCGCAGCAGACGGCTGCGTCGGAGAGTCCTCTCACATTCCTGTACGACGCAGATTCCCGGCAGAGACTGGTGGCGCAGTTGGCCTCGCGTTCGGGCCGAGAGATTGAAGACGGCCGGCATACCATGGCCGCAGGAAGCAGCGGCGGCGGCAGCGACGGCAGCAGCATAGGCAACATCGGCGGCAGTCTGGGCGACGAGAACCCGTGGCTCTACTTTTTGCTCTCCGGGGCCGACCGTCTCAAGAAGATGCACAAGAGGCTGGCGGATCGGGAGGTGGAAGCGACGAAGCTGTTTGACACGCACAATGCGCGGTCGCTGGACCACATGCTCGCGCGGCAGGACGCGGTGCGGGCGCAGGATGCCTACGAGCTGATGGCGTCTTGGGCCTTTCTAGGCGAGTTCGAGACCATGGCGTCGATGCTAGAATGGCAGCTCAAGCAGTGGGACCACCCTTCCTTGCTAGACCACGTCGTCGGTTCTAATCAAAATAATTACTACAATAACTACTACTGCTACAGCAGCAGCAGCAACTACAACAATCACAGCCACGACAACTACAGCAGCGGCAACAGCAGCAGCAGCAGCAACGGCAACAGAAACCCGGGTGAAAACGGTACGTGGACGACGGCGAGCGTGACACCCGACGTGCCCACCGACTTCATGCCGGTCCTGTGCCTGTTCCGCCAGTATGCCGAGCCCATGCTCTCCGAGGAGAGGGTGGAAGGGATACGCGCGGCCGTCGAGGCTGCGGACGTGGCTTGGTCGTGGCCCGACGACGAGACGGTAGAGGACTTCTCGGCGGCCGTGGCGGCGGGGAACGACGCCTCGTACATGAAGCTGCTGCACGTCCTCGAGTGGATCCGATACAGGCAGGCCAGGGAGAGGGGAGAGTCGGCCGAGAAGCTATTACGGCCGCCGAGGTGGGGGTTGGGGTGACTGGGATGATGCGTCTATATCAATGTATCGGTCAGTGTATCATGGAGCATCAAGAGCATCTCCAGAGCCTGTGCAGAGAGTAAGGTGCTAGAAAGGAGAGATTCAGGATCGAACCCATGCCATGTCTACTCTTCGGATGTACGAAGTGGTACTAGAGAGGGAAGACGTATTGGATGAAGATGGTATACATTTCTATACACACACGATGAAGACGATTACGACGCCACAATTGTTGAAACGCGGTTGACAGTGAAAATAACAGTAATACCACAGCTGAAGGCGCTTGGTAGTTGAAGACAGCTCTACAGTACTACACATGAAGACGGAGTGTAGAGTTGACCTGTGTACATGTAATCTGTACAGATTAGAGAGTGAAGCCTCATGTTCACGTACGAGTAGAATTGCATATATGATATGACTTGGCATGAGAAATCGTAAGAAAAGGTAGGCGCGTGTGTAGGGGGGCGCTTGCTGTTTGAGATTGACGGGCGGCTAAGATTTTATTTTCCTTGTAGAAAAATGGATGGAGGAATGATATTATTAATAATACCAGTAATGATAATTATTACGAGTTACACCATTTTCGTAGTATTATCCGTGTGAATGAATTATTGGTGCCCACAATCGACTCGTGTTCTTTCTCTTCTCAATATGAAGAAGAATAGAGACATGAGAATGTAGAACTTTCCGATCGGATCCAGCTTTTGATTTACATTGTAATACTCTCAAGAAAACACGAAAGATTTCAGTCAAGATATCATTACTACTACTATTACTACTACTATTACTACTACTACTACTACAGTGCAGTACAGGAACAATACTAGCCCGACCGTAGTACCGGCGCTTTGTCTGCAGATTCACAGTGTGGGACCTCGGCGATTGGGCAGGAGGCAACGGGCCGGGCGCCTTCCCTGTTAATACCTACCGGTCCGAAACGAGGTAACACCCCGGAGCGTCGCTCCTGCCCTCTCATCCTATTTTTGTTTCCATTTGGGGAAAGAGCATTGGCAGCCCTCGCTCACCTCTCTTTCTCCCCCTCTTCCTCTCTCTCCATCTCTCTCTCCCTCTCTCTCACCTTACCCTGGTAAACTCTCAGCCTCTTTACGGGGTCTCAATATTCGGTCTCATCATTTCATGCAACCACTCCATCGTTTGGATGCCGGCGGTTGGGGAGCAGAAGCCGGGATTGGGGGGGAATAGGACCAAAAGAAAAAGAAAGTCGAGTTGTACATAATACTCAGACACCGAATACAAAGACTACGTCGCTCCTCTCTCTTCTCACATCTTGTTTATGTTTGCTTATCACAGTCAAGAATCACGGATTTGGTGAAACACAACTTCCTCTCTCTCTCTCTCTCTCTCTTTTCCTTTTTTTTTCCTTTGTGTGTAGTTCATTTCCTTCTATTTCCTTTGCTGCTCTATCAGTTGTCGTGTCTCCTTCTCTTTGCCTTTGTTCTCTCTTTGTCCCTTCACTGGCGTCTTTGACTTTCCTTGAAGCATTCATTAAGCAATTGACCAGACTCTTTTTTCTTGCTTCAGCTTATTCTTCTTCCTCTTTCCTTCTGTCGATCATCTCTTTTCTTGTCACTACTCCACATCCTCATCTATCCTCATCTGACCATCATTCTTCGGTGGTTGATCCATCAAACTTCTCGATAATCGCCACTATTCTCTCTCTCTCTCTCTCTCTCTCTCTGCTTCAACTTCAACTTCCTACGATATACACACACAATCTCGATTCTGAAGTCCGAGATGAGATTTCATACGTTTGTCTGGGCAGTTGCTCGTGTTCTTATATCTGCTCAGTTCGTGGGGGCGGGCCCTCTTCATCGGATTGGCAATGTGTAAGTCGCCCATATCAAATCTCTCTAATAACGAATCCAAGGGTGGGGGAGAAGAAGAAGAAGAGATGAAGAAGATGAACGGTTAAAAAGGAGGAAAATAAGCTAAAAAAAAATCACAGAATAAGAGCAGACGATATCAATTTTGCCGATATTGGGAGTGCAACCACTCCCAGTCCAGAGTTCAGCACCATCGTCGAGACCCCCATCGCTCCCACGCCAGATGCTGCCAGCGAGACAAGCGATATCGACGACGGGCGCCTCAAGCTCACTTTCATCACTCATTCTACTGATCTCACTTCCGTCCCCAATGAAACTGCCACCGATACCACCTCCCCGGAAACTCCCACTACGCCTTCGCCTCAAACAACCACCGACTCACCTGCTACACCCACCCAGATCCCCATCACACCTCCGGGCACGGGCGAGAACACACCTACCACCAGGAACACACCTACTTCGGCCGTCACTCCTCCGACCGCCTCTTCCTCAGAAGGTCCCAACACTCCGGGATCCAGTGCAGCGATATTTTCTCCAGGCACACCGAGCAGCTCTCCATCTGCCACTCCTTCGTTGACGACAAGCCCTACCAGGCTATCAACCACTCCAGCTACTCCCATCGCGAGCCCGACAACACTCACGTCAGGGATAAGCACTGTCCCCGGCACGCCAACGAGTCAATCGCCGGCCGAGTCACCCGCCAAGTCCCCAGGGAACACTACTCCTGCCCGTTCGCCTTCTTCCGCTGGCACGGCTACTGCACCGGCCACTCCGTCGACTACAGGCACGTCCCTGGCTTCCTCGTTCTCCCCGGGCACCCCAAAGACTCCTACAGCATCCCCCACTCCCACTCCCACTCTCAAGGAGACATCGGCGCCGACCACCCCCGCCACGAGTCCCGCCACGACGCCCGCCACGACGCCCGCCACGACGCCCGTCATCCCTACATCGACAACAGATGCCCCCAATTCCAGCTTCATTACCCAATCCCCCACAGGAACAACAACTGTGCCCCCCGCCGTTTTCTCTGCCAATCTCGCTTATGCACGCAGCAAGAACGTAGAGTTTGCCACTCTCACATCCGGAGCACCCTGTTCGGCACCCACGGAGCCGGCTTGTATCGACGGCCAGAGCTACCTCTGCAACAATGACGGGAAGTTTGAGCTCAGTGAGACGTGCCCCGGGGGTATGTCGTGCTATGCTGTCCCGTGGGAGTTTGCAAGCGTCATTCGTGTGGGGTGCTATCCCGACGACCAGGCCATGAGTCTGCTCGAAGGAGATGCCACTGGCACTGGGGGCAAGACGACCGCAACGACGCCCGCAACGACGCCCGCTCACGATACCGCTGTGACTCCTCTGACAACCACGACGCCTAACACCACTTCCACATCTGTCGAACCGACTTCCGAGCCCACGGTGCCTGCGAATACCGCTGTTACTACTACGAACAGCCCTCAATCGGAAGAGACAACACCCAAGAAAGCCACATCTGAGACTGCTCCCCCTGCGTCGGACCTGTCGTCAGGAACTACCACCAGTATAGATAGCATCACTCCCCAGCCGTCTGCTCCCGAGACGACGTCGGACGATGCTACCTATGAGCCCACTCCGGAGACTACTGCTGCTCCTGATGGCGCCGTGACGACAACCATCGAAAAGAGCACCACAGTCATCACCCGGACAGTCCCCCACCCCAAAGCGTCGACGACGGACGAAGCCACACCCGACCTCGTGAGGACAACCACTGGCACGAGCACCGTCACGGTGATCAAGACAGTCCCCCGTCCCGAGCCGACGACGACGGATGAAGAAGCTACCAAGACACCCACAACGGCCTCGGAAGGAGAGCCCTCAGATCATAACAGCGGCAGCACAACCCTGACCAACATCATCAACGACCCCTCTCCAACCGACACGTTTGAGCCCCTGATCCTCACTTTTTTGCACGAGAGCACAACAAAGGGCTCAGATGCAACTGCAACTGAAACGGCAAGGGAAAAGGCCACGACGTCTGAGAGCGAGGCCGGTGACAGTGACGGTCCAGGCGTGATGGCCAATACGGGGTCTCCTTCTCCCACCGATTCAGCTGATGCCACCACGACCAACACGGTTAATGGAATGCCTACCGTTTCTCTGTACTTTACCATCACTACAACTGAAAAGGTGACTGTCACGGATACGGTACGGGAGACTGTTACGGCGACATTAATCATTCCAGGTTGATGTCTCTCCGCCCCCTCCCTCCTCTCCCCCTTTCCATATTTGTTTAAAATTTCTCTCACTTTTGTCATTACGTTTCTGTGTGATTTTTTTTCTTTATCTATTTGAGCGTCAACGTGGAGTTTTGTTTTTTTATTGGAAGAAATTAAAGAAAGAAGAAAGAAAAACGGTAGTTTTCGCTTACTCTTCGCTTTGGGTTTCGCTAAGTCAAAGATGGGATATATAATGTTAGTTTAATATAAAGAATAGGTATTATTTGCCAGTGGATAATAAAGGGTCATATTCGAAACCAGAGGAGGCACATTGATGCATTACTACGTACTGCTGCTGCTACTATATGAGTAGTAACATGTACCAGAGTCTCGAAGGGCGAGTTAAGAGGCATATTTATTTATAGTTCATACCTTGTGGCTAGTGTTTCCAATGCCATATCTTGGACTACACGTTTACAAATGGGCATGAAAAAAATGAACCAACAAGGTGAGAATTGTGTGTACATTGTGTGTAAATAAGACATGATTATATAAGGGTTATGGAAGAACAAGAAAAAGAAGAAAAAAGAGAAGGAAGGAAATGGGGGGGGGGATAAAAGGAAGAGAAGAAACGCTATATGAGTATTAATAACCAGAAAAAAAGTACAACAAAAGGGTAATACAGACCCATCTCACAATCGCCGAGTGTAGATATATATATATATATCCCCCTGTTTTTCAATTTGCCCATAACTAACATAGACAACAGAATTGTACTGGAACACACACACACACACACGAACACATACACATCACCCTAATCAAACAATAGCCTCTTGGCCCTCTTCTTCATCATGGCTGCCCTACCGCCTCCACTGCTGAAAGGCTTCGAACGGTTAACGGTCCTAAGCTTATCCGACACGCTGACGCCGCCCACCGTCATATCGCTTGGTGCAACGGCAGTGGCCGTAGCAGTAGCAGGTGCAGTGGCAGAATCATTCTTGACCTTGGCACCACCCTCGTCGTCATCTTCGTCATCGTCATCGTCGTCATCATCGTTATCGTCGTAGCTCTCGACATCGGTGAGCTGGTTGCTCGTACTCGTACTCTTAGCATTGGTTTTGGTATTGTCGCCCTTGTTGGTAGTGGCGATGCCGTTTGCGAGGGTGACACCTCCATAATTGTCGTCCTCTTCGTCGTCTTCCACGCCGCGTGTCTTGTACAATTCTATCCACCGACGTCGGAGGACCTGGTATAGGAAGCGGTACTGCTGGTCACTCTGGACCATTCCCTTTCTCTGCTGACGTAGGTGCGAGACTGTATCGTAGACGAAGTCTGGATCGGAATTGCTGTCGTCCTTGTTGTTATCATCCTTATTGGAGAACTGGGAGGGATGAAAGGCGCCAACGTCCAGTTCACGGAGGAGATGCTCTAGTGTGATAAAGGTCCCCGTTCGTCCAACCCCGGCGCTGCAGTGGATGATACGGGGTGCGCCGGGACAGCTGTGCTCCCGCGACAGGCGCATGAGTTCGAAAAAGGTGGCGTAGTCTTCCGGGTGGATGACGCCGAAGTCGGGCCAGCGACGATACCAAAAGTGCCACACAACACGGGGGTACCGCTCTCGGGCAACCTTGAGAGATAGCCTCCGCTTCTCAATGGCATCGCTGCACAGGAACTCGACCGACTCGAGGGTCAGGGTGGCAGACCATCCATCACCCCAGACATTGTGCTCGTTGAGGCTCCACTGGTTGTGTTGGCGAGTATTGGTGGTATTGTCCGAGGCTAGGCCGTCGGGGAAGTACTGGTTGCACTTTGCAAAGTTCCCCTCTGTGTTGCTGGTGAGCTGGACAATGACGCTGGGTGACTCGGACTGCTCAGAAATCATGCGCCAGACGTAAGGGACTGAGGGCTCGGTGGGACCCTGCATGGCGATGTAGCGTAGCGGTGAGAGGGACGAGTCGTGCGACGGCGGGGCCTCGATGTGAGAGGCGTTGACGTAGTCGAGCTGGCCTTTGGTGACAAGGAGCTTGACGCGGTTGTGATTCCAGGGCTTGATATTGCAGTAGCGATCCATGGCTCCCTTTCGGTTGGCCTCGGCTTGGGGGAAAGTACCCCATTTCCAGTCAAAGTTGGGATGGCTAGACAGGCCTTTAGCCATACGAATCCTCTCATCCCAGTTGATGTCTTCAAATTTAGCATCCATGGCTGCGGGGGGGGGGGGGGGTTTGTGTCGGTTAGCCTCGTCCTTCTTCTTTCTTTACTTCCTGCTCTCTCTCAGCTTGCACTGTCTGGGGAAAACATACCCTGTCTATCCAGCTTCAAAAAGGAAGGCATCATGGAAGCCAAGATGGGATCTAGCGGCGATTCATCCCTGACATCGCTCGGGGTCTCACTCCCCGGCCGCTTAGATGCGTGAGCCAGCTTGGGCACCTTGACGGCGATGTTCGTCGAGATGGGGGGCACCCTAGGTGACAGTCTGGGAGATGAGGTTGCTGAGCTGGTCGGTGAGTCGCGACGGTTGATTGTGTGTTTGACGGCGCCGCGAGCTGCTGGTGACGAAGCGGATGATGGTGCGAGACGGTCTACCCCAAGGCTCGTTCCTGGTGCTCTTCCCGGTCCCAGTCCTGATGATGGTGCTACACCTCGTTTGGACGAAGATGGCCTGCTGTTGGCATCGTTGCCTGAAGTTGCCGACCTAGAAAGCGACATGTGCGGTGGGGGTGTAGTTCCCTCGATGAAGCTGGAGGAGAAGACCGATGAGAGAAGATAATCTGACACACAGACGGTCTGATGAGCTGTGAGAAGGAGGTTGGGAAGATGAGTTTGGTCGAGGGCGAAAGAGAATGTGTTTGTTGGTCGTTGGGAGTATCGGGAACCGCCACCGTCTCTATTGTTCCACGTGACGCAAAATAAGCCCCTCAGGCTGTTAGGGGGAGGGGGGGGGAAGGGAGAGGGAGGGAGGATGAAGAATTGTTTCTATATAATCGGTAGATTATTACACTGCCATGTAGATGATGATGGTGGTGGTGATGATCAGGATCGTTCTTGGGTAATGACATTCAAGATAAATTCATCTTCTGGATAAGCGCCATCTAGGCATTCCCTTCTGTAGCTGCGACAATATCAGCGCTTGTTAAGACGTTCCATTGGTACCCAACCAACTGATTCCTATGTCCGGTCGGGGCCAGTGAGAGGAGGTTGAGACGTTTCAGCGAGGTTTGTCTTGGTGCCGGGTGTATCTTTTGTGTTGTTCTCTAACTTTTACGCTCATATCTGATGAATCCTTGGATTCATAAATATACTCATCTAATTGATATTGTATCCAGTGATGCTACTCATCTGATACCTTGGGGGGGGGGCACAAGACTCATACTAACAGTCGGTACCCGTCTTCTTACCCTTAATTGGTGTCTAGTCAGGTCCCGTGTGTTAACATACAGAGAGAGAAAAAAGAGTCACGTGCCATTCTCATCCGCCTCACATCATTCATCTCACCTCATGAACCATCTCATGACGATAGATGAATTAACCAATACATAGATGGAAACCATTAATAAATACATACTATACAGTGTCTTCACTTCATACAGCCTTATACCCCAGAATACACACCACTCACAAACCGTCCACACTCAACCCTCTGCTCAAGCGTCAGCCTGCGCCCCCTCCCATCCTCGCCTATCCTGACGTTTTCCCTCGGCGTGAGACAGAGCCTATCCTGGCTCTTCTCCTCAGCCTTACTCTTCTTGCCCTTCTCCTTCTCCTTCTCCTTCTCCGTCTCGACCTCGAAGGGGGGGATGTATCCAGGCACGCACAGGTTGTTCCTTTTGCCCGTGCCGAGTTGGAAGTACTCGTTGCCACCCCAAAAGACGACGTCGGACCCCCAGTTTGTGGGAGTGTCGGGGTTGGCCTTGCTCGTTGCGCTGGTGCGCGGCGCGGACGTGTTGGTCGCGTTGTCCATGACGGCGGCGCAGTGCGTGGTGCCGATGTTGAGCGCCTTGACGCGGATGGGCTGCAGAGAGTTGGTCTTTTCGTCAAACTCGAACCGTCCCGAGATACCCTTGATCTTTCCCGGCGTTGCCGACACGTGCGTCCATTTTCCCGTACCCAGAGCGCCGTACACGCCCTGGCCAAAGGCCCATACGTCCGACGTCGTGGGGGGCAGTCTCCTACCCGGCTTGGCGTCGGGGGCAGGGGCCGGCGTGTCGACGTCGACGGAGAAGTATGTGTTGTTCCCGCCGGCCGCCACGCCCGTCACCCGTGAGGTGAGCTTTCCCTGGTGGTAGTACAGCTTGTTGGTGGGGATGTGCACAGGCGCCCACGCCGTCGAGTTGGCCGGGTCCATATCGAAGCCCAGCTGGCCGTACAGGTTGTCGCCAAAGGTATACAAGTTGCCGGCCTTGTCCAGCACAGCAGAGTGGTAGTCACCCGTGGCGATCTGCACAACTTCAGTGTCCTTGAGGGCCGTAATCTCGTGTGCCACGTCGTACGCCTGGTTCTGCGGCTTCGTCTCCCACGTCAGGCCGGGGATGCCCATCTGGCCCTTGGAAGGAAAGTCAGAGCTGCTGGACGCGAGGGAGAAGACGCGGCCCTTGGATGTCAGGAGCAGACAATGTTCCAGCCCGCTGCTGATGTCCGTCACCCTCTCGCCCCACCCGAGACCGCCGGGGGTCAGAGTGCGCAGGACAGCCGGGCTGCTCCCCCACAGAGACCACGACGAGCGCTTGGCCTTGGTCTCCCCGAGCGCGAACGACTTGAGGTCGTCCTGAGACGAAGGGACGGCGTACACGGACCCGTCACGCGCCAGGGCAATGATGCGGTCAGCCGATACGTCAATCTTGGCCAGGTCCTTGCCTTTGACCGTGGTCACCGGCCGCGGGTCATCCTTGGAGAACCCCAGCCCCCACTGCACCAGGTCGCCCTTCTCTGTCACAGCTGCGCCAAACGTGTTTGTGAGCTTCAGGTCGCGTAGAACCTTGTCATCAAAGAACTTGAGGCGCCGAGGCTGCTTGACATACTTGTCCTCCGACTCCGGGTCAACCACCCTGCCCACGTTAGACCCCCACACGTACACGCCCGGATGCTCCCAGCTGCGCAGAACCTGCAGGTTCTGCGAGCTCAGCAGCTTCCTCTGGTCCTCGGCCGGGTTGGACACCACCGGCTCAAACTTGAGCTCGGGCTGCGCAAACTTGGGGCCATCGCGGGCTGCCCTGTCCTCCTCGGTCATCATGAGCACACCCACCATCTCCTTGACGACTGGGAAGTAGTATGATGTTGCTGCTGCGCCGCCGAATACGGCTGCGACGCTGGCAAACTTGCCGAACCTCTTCGATGACGTCTTACGCCGGCCGCCGCCGCCGCCGCCGCTGCTGCTGCTGCTGGCGTTGCGCAACCATACTCGTAATCGCGGGAGTGGCGTCACTCCTTGTCTGAGAGTGACGGCACGAAAGGCGTTCATTGTGTGATCTTTTATCAGTAGATGACGATGAGTGAGATGAAACAAACACCTGAAGAGGCAAAGGAGAGGGAAAGAAGAGGAGCGTAATGCTTGGTCTGCCGTTGGATGTCAAAATCTGGGGGGTCCCGACTCATGTGGGCCCTTGAGATAAGCCGATAAGTCGAGTACAGGGTAAATCATTTCTGAATCAATGACAAGGCGCCGCTCGGAAGCACCAGCTGGCTTCAGCCGTCACGACTATTACATCCCACGCTCTTTTTCTCTCCGTCCCTCCACCCTCCTCCCTTCCAGCTCCTTCTTTAGAGTTCGGTATAATCATGTACGACGAGTCATGGTACAGCTTCGTCGAAATTTCCAACTCTTCCTCCAAGAAATCCGCACCGACAAACAGTACCAACAGCAACCAAGCTCACCGTCGAAGGGAGTCGTCTCTGCTCCAACAGCCAAATGTTTGCCCCCCCCCCCTCCCCCTTTGCCTCTCAAACATATGTGTTTATATGTATATCTGACCCTTGTACATATTAGGGGGCCAACAGCAATGTTCCCGTAGAAGTCAAGACCCCTCTCGAGAATGTGTACGAGGAGATTGAAAACACCAATACCCCGCCTGAACCGACCCTTCTGCGGCGAGCAGCTTCCTATTCGGACTTTTACCGTGTCGTGCGGGCGCAATTCCCTGGGAAGAAGAAGGCCGTAGCAGCCAAGAAGGGACAGAACCGACAATGGGATGCCCTCATGCTGTTCGAGGGCCCTGCGTCCGACAATATCGAAGACGACGACTGGAGCTCAACCTTGGACCATGAGCTTGATCGACAGCTTCTCGACTCGGCTCAGGAGGAGTACTCGTGAGTTTGGATTCCTTTTTTTTTGAGGAAAAAATGAGGGAGGAAGAGCGAAAGAAAAGGATACAAAGAGAGAAAGAAAGAAGCTGACACCTATTGCACCATACAGGCTCTACCGCGACCAACTCATACTCACGGAACGCCACCTCGACGGCCTCATCGACGACGCGAGCAGCACGCTCGACATCCTGACCACCCTGTCTAACTCGTTCAAGTCGGTCGAGGCGCAGACCTCCACATTCCAGTCACAGTGCGAGGGCCTGGTCAACGAACAAAAGAGGCTGGAGAAACTAGCGGACGAGGTCGGTACCGACCTATACTACTACACGTACCTAGATACTGCGACGAGGAGGCTCAACGCGCCGGGCGCTGGACGTCTAGTCGAAGACCACGGGTTCGGGGACATGGTGGAGAATATCGACGCCTGCATAATCTTTATGGCGGAACGTGTGAGTGTCTACCTAGTTTACCTCTGCTGCTGCTGGATTCTATGAGGTGAGGATAGGACATGGTACTAACGACCGTTGTGATTTACAGCCCAACTACCGCGACAGAGACACGTACCTGGCACGGTATAGTGCCCTGCTAACCAAGGCGCTGCACCTGCTAGACCACGGCTTCACGGCGCGGCTGGACAAGACCATGACAGATATAGGCAAGCAGATTGCCAACACGCAGTCTGAATCTGCCCGACACGCCCTCGCCTACGGCCGCTTCGAGGAGATGATGGCGGACACGTACGCCCTGATACCCAACGTGCGCCGGGTGGTCCGCAGCGCCTTTGATCAGTATGGCAGGCCCAAGGAGGTGTCGTCGACGTCGTCGGCGGCAGCGGCGGCGCATGCCACAAGCATCCGCGAGTCGTACTCCAGCGCCGCATCCAACATGTTCCACACGTACCTCACCACGCGGGACCGACACCTCAAGCCCATGACGCAGCACGACCTAGACGAGCATGCCAAGGAGGTCAAGGAGCTATCGGTCGAGACGGCGTCGCGCAACCTGGTCAAGCAGTGTTTCGAGCGCATCTACAGCGAGGGCAAGATCTTTACGCACATCTTTGGCGTGGAGCCGGCCTGGAGCTCCGTTCCCGAGTCGGCCTTCCAGATCATCAAGGCTGTCAACACGTTCATGCCACACCCGGGCCATCTCAGCCCGCTCGGCATGGCCCTCCAGTCCAGTCTGCAGTCGGCCGCTGGGGGACTCCAGACCACCTGTGCCGTCGTCGGGTGGCTGGCAAGCGAGCACTCCGTCTCGGAGGTGGAGGAAGACGAGACGCCCTTCTTCCGCAAGAGCAAGGAGTATGCTGCGCAGCTGCTCGTCTGGAATATGTGGCCCTTTGCAGACGCCTGCTTCGATGCCGAGATTACGAAGGTCATCACGAAGGCTACCGTGCAGGATACGGCCCTGACCGTGGCCCAGTCCGATGCTTACCCGCTTGTCAAGAAGGCCATGGATCTGCTTGCCAGGTTCGATCAGGCCATGCCCAAAGAGCGATCGGTATGACTTCTTCTCTCTTCTTTCTTCTTCTTCTTTCTTGCACTCTGTCATCTGGATTCGTGAGCACGTGTATGTACTAACACCTACCAGGCAAAGGATAGCCCCGTGGTTTTCAAAATTGTTCGCGAGACGATCCAAGTGCTGCAAAAGGCCGAAGCGAGGATCAAGTCTCTCAAGAATGGCACGGACGGAGACCTCTTCATGGTCAAGAACCTGCTAATCATCAAAAACGAGCTCGTATCTCTCGAGATTGGCGACATCCGCGGGCAGCCCGGGGCAGGCGGAGCATCGTCGTCGGCCTCGGGCAGGGGGGCAGTCCCGTCGATGCAGCACTTCAGCCAAGTCTGGGATACAATCAGCCCGCAGAACTGGGTCAGCTTCTTCGGCGGCATCATGGCAGGCGGCACGACACTTTGGTCCCGCGGCGCCGGCGCTGTTGGTGGCGGCGTCACGCCAGCTGTGACGGCCAAGACTCTCACGGTGGAGGACATGAGCGAGCAGCTAGACGAGCTACTCCGCCAGTCCATCTACGCCTTTACCAACCGGTGGGCCACACTCATCAACGATTCCAAGGCCAGGAAAGCAGGTGTCAAGCCCATCGCCAAGGTAGAGGCAGACCTAGACTCGCTCCTCAGAGCAGCCTTTGCCAGTCAGCCAGAGGTGGTAGCTAAGCTCAAGGAGGCTATTGAGCTGAATGCCCAGGCGCAGAATGATGCCAAGGATGGGAAGCAGGGTGAAAAAAAGTATTAGGCTATACCARRKGGGGGGGGGGGGAGTCTGGGGACAAGAGGAGAGAGAGTATCATGAATATATGACAATATACATTAATCGAAGATATGTGGAATTGCGTGTATAAGGATATGTTCCCCAAGTCCTCGATAAGTGAATACATGCACCAATGGGGAATTCCAGTTGGTCAGCGCCAAGGGCGGTCAAAGACTCAAAGAACTGGAAAAATGGCGTTATTAGATAAGAAGTTTGCTTTCTTCATCGGGTGTGTTCCGACGAAGGAAGCCGACCTCTCTCCTCTTCTATTGTCATTTTGAACTGTGCTACTCTCCACTCTCCCTTTATTCCTTCTCTTCTTTTCCTGTGCCTTGCTTCGTGCTGTGTTGGGTGTCTCCTTCTTTTGCTTCCATTGAAAGCTTCAATCGCACAAGCTTCTTCTCTTTTCAATCTGCGACATCGGACCCAGAGGGGGGGGGGCAACCTAACATGGCCGAAAGTCTGACCGAAGCCAATGTCCCTACAGAGGGGGGAGCTACGCAGACGGCCAAGGATCTGTTTTCCGGTGCCGTCGGGGGCGTAGCACAGGTCCTGGTCGGTAAGGAGACACTCGGTCCGGGCATCTGCTCATCAAACCCCGCTGACAGCTCTCTCTTCTCCCAGGCCAACCATTCGACATTGTCAAGGTGAGGCTGCAGACGACGACGCAATACTCGTCTGCCCTGGAGGCGGCCACATCCATCTACAGGAAGGAAGGGCCTACGGCCTTCTACAAGGGCACCCTGACGCCTCTGATCGGCATAGGCGCCTGCGTGTCGGTGCAGTTCGGCGCATTCCACCAGGCGCGCCGGTGGTTGGAGGCGCGCAACTTGGCCTCGTCGCCGGGCGGCTCCGGATCCCTGAGCTACTGGCAGTACGCGCAGGCCGGCGCGTTCGCGGGCGTGGCCAACTCTTTCCTGTCCGGTCCGATCGAGCACATCCGCATCCGATTGCAGAGCCAGCCGCACGGCGCCGGCAGGCTGTACGACGGCCCGCTGGACTGCGTGCGCAAGCTGGGCGCCCACGACGGCGTCCTGTCCGGCGTCTACAGGGGCCAGGTGGTGACCATGTGGCGCGAGGCCTTCGCCTACGGTGCCTGGTTCACCAGCTTCGAGTGGATGATGAACCAGGACGCCAGGCGCAACGGCGTCGACCGCGCTGACCTGCCCGCCTGGAAAGTCGCGCTCTGGGGCGGCCTGGCCGGCGAGGCCCTCTGGCTCGCCTCCTACCCCTTCGACGTCGTCAAGAGCAAGATGCAGACCGACGGCTACGGTGCCGCCCAGAAGTACAAGTCTATGCGCCACTGCGTCGCCGCCACGTACGCTGCCGGCGGGCTTGGCGGCTTCTTCAAGGGTATCGGTCCTACACTGCTCAGGGCCATGCCCGTGTCCGCTTGCACTTTCGCTACCGTCGAGTTTACCATGAAGCTTCTCAACTAGAAAAGGGGGCAAGGTCTATATATGAAGAGAGGGAGAGATTCATCTCATCGGGGGTGATTTGAAAAAGAGATCGTTTTACCGAGGGGATTTTGGAAAGTGGAAAAAGTTTATTCGATAGGTGGGTGGAGGCGTAGACACACACACACACACACACACACACATATATATATATATATGATATATCCCATGATCAATTTCTTTTGGGGAAAAAAAAAGTCGGTTCTCTGAGATCCTCTCTGATTTCTTTCAAATCTACCTGCTCGCATCTACCACTCCACGTCCTCGTTGTTCTCTACCCTTCTCTGCAAAATGTACCGCGCATTCTGTGGTGTCAGCTCCGACAAGCCCAGCTCCTCGAGCACCTTTCTCGCCTCGTCATTATCCGTAAACACGCCGTCGCTCGCCCTCTTGATGGTCATGACATGGCAATCGTCTGCCCCGTTGGCCTCGACAGGCAGGCTGAGCAGTCTCATGCCTTCTAGCAGTGCGGCCATGGCGGCGGCACCGCCTCCGCTGCCAGCCGTGTACCGGTCTACCAGGGTGACGATGGCCCTGCCATCGTAGAGGAACTGTCTGGCTCCCGAGGCGGTAAAGTTCTGACGGAGGAGTACCTCGTTCCACAGCTGGTCCTGCAGCTTGCCCAGTGCGAGACGCCACACGCGACGGAACACGGCCGCCGAGAGCGCCTTGGCTGTGAACTCGAGGTTGCGCGTCAGCGTGTGCAGCGGCTCGTCGAGCTCAGGAGAGATGACGAGCTGGTCGCCTAGATCGGAGCTGTCCGGCATGGTGAATTGCGCTCTTGTCCTGTAGGTCCTGAAGGCCTTGGAGTGCGACTCGCTCAGCGCCGATACCATGAGCTCCTGAGCTGTCTTGCGGCGCAGGCTGTATGATGCGGCTGTCTCGTCGAACAGGGCGCCGTCTGAGTCGGGGGTTGAAGTGGCCGGCTGGCCTTGTTCGTAGTCGGTCCCGCTGCCGCGCTTGGCCGATCCGGCTTGGAGCTGCTCCCACAATTCGAGGAAGAACTGTTTTCCTCTGTCAGCCACATTCTCCCATCCTTCTCGAAGTGGAACACGCACAACACACAAGGTATGTGCGGTTCGCATAGAAGGGCAGAGAGAGAGAGACATACCTCATCATTTCCCCAATCCTTCAGCGTGGTGATTATGTGGTCAGAGCTACCCAGGACCTTGGCCAGGCTCTCGAGCCCGCCAATGCCGTCGAGGGCTGCCAGTTCCTCCTTCGTAGCACCGTGCAGGGTCCTCCCGAGAGTCGATGTCATGGACTGGTAGGCCTCGAGGGAGCCACGCAGACGGCCGTCAAAGTCGTCTAGGATGTCGACCTGGATATCCACGAGGAAACGAACCTTGTGACGGACCTTGCGCAGACGGTTGTACTGGCTGGTCACGGAGCGTAAGAGGTCGGTGACGCGCACAGCGCCGTACGTGGGCTTCATGCGGCCGTCGGCGGCATATTCGTAGTCAATGTTTCGGCTGTCGGGGGCGTCAAGGATGGACCGATAGCGATCCATGGCAAAGTCCCTCTCTGCCTGGAACCACCTGTCAAAGTACGTGTCCAGGACGTCGGTGGTGAGACCCGGCCAGCCATTGTCTCGATCGCCGCCGTCGTAGCCGAACCTGGCGCGGACGTTGTCGTCGAAGGTCATGAGTTGGGAGATGAAGCTGCTCAGCAAGGACGAGCTCTTGGACGCCGCCTTGCGAGCTACGTCGTGCACCTTTTCGCGCACCACGGGCAGCATGGCGGTGATGAAGGCGCACACAGGGTCGACGTAGACGAGGCTGGTGGCCAGGTGCGTGCCCGCGAAGCGCGCGACGAGGAGGTGGCCCAGGTTGTCGCGCAGGAAGACCTCCCACTTCTCAACCGTCATGAGGAGCCAGGGGAAGCAGTGGGTGGCCACGGCCTGCGGGTCGCTGGTGGGCCTGTCGCCCAGGAAATGGAAGCGGAACTCGGCGGCGAAGATGGCGCACATGGACTGCAGCGGGAGCAGGGTCAGCGGTTCGCCGGGGTTGGAGCCGCTATAGAGGACCTCGGGCATCTGCAGGTCGAGCAGCTTGTCAAAGGCGGCCACCCAGTCGTCGTCCATCTGGGATGCCGGTTCGACGCGGGGCCAGCCCCTCTCCCTGAGCACGGCGTCGAACTCGCGCATCATGATGTCCTTCATCTCGGTCCACAGGTTGTCGGCCACGCCGGCCACGTAGTCGACTAGGTGGAGCTTCTCGTCACCCTGGGCCTCTTCGAGCGTGGAGGCCAGCTGCTTGAGGCGCGAGTACGGCTCCAGCGCGCCCTTGGGGCTGGAGGGGAGATGGGCGCGCGCCTGCGACCGCAGGGCCTCGACGTCCTGTACCAGGGCAAGGTAGCGCCGCGCCGTCTCCACGGCCCGCAGCTTCCTCATCGGGCCCTGCAGCCGCGCAATGGCCTGGTCGGGCGCATCGGAGCTGGCGGCCACGGCGGCCCGCTTGTCGATGCTCTCCTGGAGCTGCTGGAACTCGTCGATCTGGGCCTGGATGGCGTCCTGGCGTCCCCCCGCCGTGCGACGGGCCTCGTCCAGCTGCTTGACGGCGTCGTCCAGCTGCGTCTGGAGCTGGTTGCGCTGGAGCTCCACGTTGGCGAGCAGGTCGCCTAGGGACTCGAGGTCGGTGGACGTCTGGAGGCGGTCGTCCAGGAAGTCTTCTACCCGGGCATCGAGGGATGAGGAGGCCATCTGTCCGTCGTGTATCGAAGTCATGGCTGTCATGTCTGCTAACGGTAGCTTAAGGCTGGCTGCTTCTGTGGTGAGAGCTCACATGCTGGGAATGTTCAACGTTGAGAAGCTATTAGGTGTTGCGAGTTGCAACATTGACGTGGGGGGTCTGTAACTATGCAATTAAGAGGTTTATTCATCTACCAGGTAATCAACTGTCTTGACGGCCGTGGCAATATTACTTGGGAGAGCCGGTTCAGGTGTTCTGATTGACCAGCAACATGTATGGCTGGCCACTCGAGCATTGATCGGTAGGATGATTCTGTATCCCTCCTTCGGATGATGCAGTAAACGGTGAAGCTGAGGCAAGAGCTGGGGCGTATCTGTGACGTGGCAGATGTAATGCTTGTACTTGTAGTCTGTCGTATTTGTTGATGTAATAATAGGGGCCTCCACCTTTGTTGAGGTCAGGTGAGAAAAAAGAGAAAGAACCATAGTGGTTGGTGTGAGGGACACCTGTACATACGTGTTCCTCCCAGGGCATTTTGGGGGGACAAAGTTTATAAGAGGACTCATTGTCAACATCTCCTCCTTCCAGGCCCTTTCCTTATACTCGTAATCTGTACCGATCACTCCCGTTTGGTATATCCTAGCTGCAGGAAGAGAGGAGACATGCTTTTGTGCTCGTGATGACCTCCCGGTTACACTGTACAGGGTAGGAAGAATCGACGGGATCCAAAATTAGATAGAGTAGTGGGGTAGATGCATACGTCAGACGGCTGGGCGAATTGAGATTGTGAGGCCGCCGGGGGGGGGGGGGGGGGGGGGGGCGGCATCGCTATGACAACGGCGATTTCTGGGGGTATTGTCCACATGTAATCTGTACAGAGTACTTAACTCGTAAACGGAGGGTTGGAGTGAAAGGAACCGTTATTCGTATTGATTTGTATTGTTCGTATATATCGCAACCTGTACGAGTACATGGAGTGCTTGAGTGGTTGGGCGGCTTACATGTACATGCGACGTAATGAGCAGCTACAGGTAGCTCAGGGCCAGTATCCTTACCAGCAATAACTAGCAGCAGCGTCCCGTACAGATCACAGATTACAGCCGCCGAGGAAATGGAGGGTTAGCGATGGAGGGTCTAGTAGTTGCAGAGGTTCAGTGGTGTTCAGGTGCTTGTCGGCGGTGACGCCCAAACGAACGGGCAGTAAAGCTACAGGGCTCAGCTAAGCTATAGGGCTCAACACGGGGTTGCGTGCGGCGATTCCGTACATGTACGACAGTGTGGTACGTGGTATGACCACTGGGATAAGCAGAATACAGCGCCGTTACAGGGTCTGCATACCTGTAAATCGTAGATTATAAAACCACAGTGGATCGCCCTAATCGATCCGGGGACTACCGGGACCCACTTCTTTACCTATAATCGCCTTGGCCTTACGAATGGTTGGGCAGCTGCAGTTTCCCTGCCAACCAGCTCTTTTCCCTCTTGTAAATAAAAAAGGACGTGGCTGGGCCAACCTGCACAATTCTCGGCTCCTTGCATCATGCTATGGTTGCCTCTCTGCATCTCCCCCCCCCCCTTTCCAGCCATCTCTAATTATCACAAACACTGGAGTCCTCTCTCTGATCTTACCGTCAGCTGCAACAGTCGACCGATGACTCGAGGTCTCGAAAAAAGAACAAATCTTCCGAAAAGGCTAAGTTTCTTTTACCTACCGCCATCACCATCCCCCTCACCTCCTCCATACCGATAGACTCCAGCCATTCCAAGCTGGTAGCCTTTTGGGGAAAAGTCTCACCAAAAGCATTCCAGGTTACCGTCTGTCGCTCGTTTTTCTTTGAGAATCTCACCCGCCGCCGCCGCCACCGACGTCGCCTCCGTCTTCATATTTTCCCTTTTT